TTAAAAAGGGTCAATTAACAATCTTTGTGGAGTAACATGTTGGGAAAAGAGGTATTGGAGAGTCTGACATGAAATGTCAACGCTAACCTAAGGGTTTTAGTACCCTAATGTTCGACCAATGCACCTTCCTACCATCAAGGTGCAGGACACGGTCTTTGCCAATGAGAACCAAGAAGGGCCTAGCTTTGTTCCTGCCTCCAGAAGGCTACTGAGTGAGAAGGGCTGCATTCTGTTCTACTAGGCCCATTTGCACCACCAACTCCCCTGATGTTCTTCCACCATATCCTACCCCCAATTCAGTGAGGTGCACTGCTGCAGGTTTCTGTCCTCCAGAAGATCCTACATACAGCTCATTAGATCAGAACAGGATGGATCAATAGTGATTCATATTACTGGTTTGCATCCCAACATACTGCATGTTTTCACAGTCCTTTAAGTAACGAGAATAAAGACAATGACCATACAATTAGAAGTCAAATAAATATGCATGTGTGGGCACCTATGCCTACTGCTTCCAGAATTTCATCTGCCAGAAAAATATACCAACATTTACAGTACATTTGATTCCATCTGGACTTTGGATGCAAGGAGAGACAATTTTAAACATACAGTATGGCTCAGTTGATACGATCAATACTAAGAATTACATTTAAAAAATAAAGATTTGGTTAATATACTCTAAAAAGTAAAGGTTCCTGGGGGATCCTTTAGGGGTTCTTCAAATTGAAACTGTGGGGGAACCCCTATAAGTTCTTAGAATAACTATTTAAAAGGGTTCTTCAAAGAACCCCTTTCAATGGATCCTCAAATAACCTTTTGAAGAACCTTTTAGGGTTAATTTTTGAACTACTCCCCACTCCCATATTATTATTATTAGTAGTAATACGCTTAACAATAACAACAATAACACAATATTTTAGTTTCCTGTTATATTCATCAGAGGTGTAGGGAGGGTGAAGTCTGTGAATCCAATTTTTTTTTAATTATACAGATGATTAACAAAACATGCACACGACAGTATTCATACCTTAGCTTTTGTGATGAATGTGGATGAATACAACTATTTTGATAATGGTTTTCATACACATACCTTGTCCATAATGTAGAGGCCTATGGGATTATCCTTGAAGAGGTAAGGGAGGGGGATTGTACATGTGATCTGCATAACATACCAATACCAATTGACATACCTTTGTATGCCTCCTCATCTGTAAACCTGCAGACACAGACACAAAAGTGAGCAGTTCAGTCATCTGCACCCAATACAGCTAGCCTTCAACATATTCTTATGCACTCTAAAAAGTAAAAGGTTCCTGGAGGATCCTTTGGAGGTTCTTCAAATTGAAACAGTGGGGGAACCCCTGTAAGTTCTTCGAATGAACTCTTTAAAAGGGTTCTTCAAATAACCCCTTTTAATGGATCCTCAAATAACCTTTTGGGGTTAATTTTTGAACTACGCCCCCCCTCCCCTATTAATAATACGCTTAACAATAACAACAATAGCACAATATTTTAGTTGTTAGTGTTTATTATGTTTTTAGTGGCAAAGCAGAATACAAAAATCTAAATATGAGGTAAACTCCCAGCAGAGCCCCAAGTCCAATGGGTATATCCTCTGGCATGTTGATGTTCATGTGTTGATGTTCTCCATATCCATAGCTAGAATGATTTTGCAGTGCATGGTGATCGAGCAGGTTTCCTGTTATATTCATCAGAGGTGTAGGGAGGGTGAAGTCTGTGAATCCAAAAAATTGTAGTTGTACAGATGATTAACAAAACATGCACACAACAGTATTCATACCTTGGTTTTTGTGGTAAATGTGAATGAAAAAAAACTGTTTTAATAATGGTTTTCATACACATACCTTATCCATAATGTAGAGGCCTATGGGATATTCATTGTAGAGGTAAGGGAGGAGGATGGTAAATCTGATCTGCATAACATACCAATACCAATTGACATACCTTTGTATGCCTCCTCATCTGTATACCTGCAGACACAGACACAACAGTGAGAAGTTCAGTCATCTTCACCCAACACAGCTAGCCTTCAACATATTCTTATAGCCTACAGTACATATTATTACCTCTTTGTTGGTTGATATCCATTGAATTGTGTCCATTTTCTGTTTTAGAAAGATTTGCACAAATATGAAAAGATGGATAGTGTCATCAGAAAACAATATCAATTTAGATCATACAAGGGACCAACCTTACCTTAAATTGGGGAGATCTTTACATTTTTCAGTTAAGTGCCTGCACCTGCTGTCCTTTCAAATTCAAATCCAAATGTTTCAGTTGGGCAGTTAGGTTCCTGCAAGAACCCCCACCAACTATGGGGTTCTTTGAAGAACATTTTGGGTGCAATTTTCAGTGCCAAGAACCCTAAGGTTCTTCGAAGAACTTTGAGGATCTTAGAACCCTTGTTGAACCCCTAATTTTTAAAGTGTAGTTTTTATTTGGATTTATGATGGGGTAAGACAGTTGTACTAAGGACAGTAATCAAAAAAAATATATACAGTTGAAGTCGGAAGTTTACATACACTTAGGTTGGAGTCATTAAAACTCGTTTTTCAACCACTCCACAAATTTCTTGTTAACAAACTATAGTTTTGGCAAGTCGGTTAGGACATCTACTTTGTGCATGACACAATACATTTTTCCAACAATTGTTTACAGACAGATTATTTCACTTATAATTCACTGTATCACAATTCCAGTGGGTCAGAAGTTTACATACACTAAGTTGACTGTGCCTTTAAACAGCTTGGAAAATTCCAGAAAATGATGTCATGGCTTTAGAAGCTTCTTGACATCATTTGAGTCAATTGGAGGTGTATCTGTGGATGTATTTCAAGGCCTACCTTCAAACTCAGTGCCTCTTTGCTTGACATCATGGGAAAATCAAAATAAATCAGCCAAGACCTCAGAAAAATTATTGTAGACCTCCTCAAGTCTGGTTCATTCTTGGGAGCAATTTCCAAACGCCTGAAGGTACCAGGTTCATCTGTACAAACAATAGTACGCAAGTATAAACACCATGGGACCAGGCAGCCATCATACCGCTCAGGAAGGAGACGCGTTCTGTCTCCTAGAGATGAATGTACTTTGGTGCGAAAAGTGCAAATCAATCCCAGAACAACAGCAAAGGACCTTGTGAAGATGCTGGAGGAAACAGGTACAAAAGTATCTATATCCACAGTAAAACAAGTCCTATATCGACATAACCTGAAAGGCCGCTCAGCAAGGAAGAAGCCACTGCTCCAAAACCTCCATAAAAAAGCCAGACTACGGTTTGCAACTGCACATGGGGACAAAGATCGTATTTTTTTGAGAAATGTTCTCTGGTCTGATGAAACAAAAATAGAACTGTTTGGCCATAATGACCATCATTATGTTTGGAAGAAAAAGGGGGCTGCTTGCAAACCGAAGAACACCATCCCAACCGTGATGCACGGGGGTGGCAGCATTATGCTGTAGGTGTGCTTTGCTGCAGGAGGGACTGGTGCACTTCACAAAATAGATGGCATCATGAGGAAGGAAAATTATGTAGATATATTGAAGCAACATCTCAAGACATCAGTCAGGAAGTTAAAGCTTGGTCGCAAATGGGTCTTCTAAATGGACAATGACCCCAAGCATACTTCCAAAGTTGTGGCAAAATGGCTTAAGGACAACAAAGTCAAGGTATTGAAGTGGCCATCACAAAGCCCTGACCTCAATCCTATAGAACATTTGTGGGCTGAACTGAAAAAGCGTGTGCGAGCAAGTAGGCCTACAAACCTGACTCAGTTACACCAGCTCTGTCAGGAGGAATGGGCCAAAATTCACCCAACTTATTGTGGGAAGCTTGTGGAAGGCTACCCGAAACATTTGACCGAAGTTAAACAATTTAAAGGCAATGCTACCAAATACTAATTGAGTATATGTAAACTTCTGACCCACTGGGAATGTGATGAAATAAATAAAAGCTGAAATAAATCATTCTCTCTACTATTATTCTGACATTTCACATTCTTAAAATAAAGTGGTGATCCTAACTGACCTAAGACAGGGAATTTTTACTCTGATTAAATGTTAGGAAATGTGAAAAACTGAGTTTAAATGTATTTGGCTAAGGTGTATGTAAACTTCTGACTTCAACTGTATCATAATTAGGGGTAAACATAGAATCAATACATTAGTCTCAATTCAAACTGATCCCAAAAGTTGTGTGATATCCACTACTGGACTTATCACCAGCATCGCCTGTGCCAGAGTATCAGTTGGCTGGGATTGCAACATGTATACAGTTAACATACATTGAAAGGGGGAATCTCTAGGTCAGAAGGAGGATCTTGTATTCAATGCGGTGGGAGACAGGGTACCAGTGGAGTTCATGGAGGATGGGATGATGATGGCAGCAGGTAGCCTAGTGGTTAGGTCATTGGGCCAGTAAACAAAAGGTCACTAGTTCTAATCCCCGAGCCCACAAGGTGAAAAATCTGTCCACGTGCCCTTGAGCAAGACACTTATCCCTAATTGCTCCAAGGTCGCTGTTGATAATGGCAGTCCCTGGCTGTGACCCCACTGTCTCAGGGAGAGTTGGGTTATGCAAAAAAAATGTTTTACAATTCACACATGCATATTAATACACATTTGTATATGTGTGAAATAGGACAAATATAAGCACCCACCAAAATTATTATTATGTGCTGTCAGTATTTAGTGTGGGTGCAGAGATTTGGAGCTTATGGAGGCAGCTTGAGTTGATGCCGGAGAGTAATGCGTTGCAGTAGTCGGGAGGAGATGAGATTAATTCATTAAACTGTCTTTTCTTTCTAAAGTATGTCAGATGGTCCAGCACCATCCTCAGAATGCTTTCATTTTTGGTGTAATTCTCATTTCTAGATAAGGCTTAAAATACAGTCTTGCTATGTCACGATTGCACAAAACACAGGGCCCTAATTATAAACAACATCCATGGCAGATTGTCAGTGTGCTGCTGTAAAACTGAGGTTTTAGGTTTGTGATTTCTTCAGCCACATCTTGTCCGACTCACGTGTCACCGACTGGGTGCACTCGATGCACGCTATCCACAGCTGCTTGGCCAGGTCGTCCGACAGACGCTGCACTTGCCAAAGTAGTTTAGAATAAGGTTCATATTGTGCGTGTTCTTGCTGTCTATGCGGTACTGCTTGTACATGAGGTCATTCCATGAGCACTTCAGGTTCATCAGCTTGTGGTGGCCCTCCAGCAGCTCGGCTTGCTCTATCATTATGGAGTGTCTGCCACCATCTGAGGCATTACACAGGAAGGGAGGAGGAATATAAATACACAAAAACATTGTTACTGTACAGTAGGGCTCTCCAACCCTGTTCCAGGAGAGCTACCCTTCTGTAGGTTTTCACTCCAATCCCAGTGTTAATTTACCTGATTTAGCTTATCAACCAGCTAATAATCAGGTGAGATGAATTATGGTTGGAGCGAAAACCTACAGGACGGTAGCTCTCCAGGAACAGGGTTGGAGAGCCTTGCCGTACAGTGTCACATCAAATGCAATGCAAGCCAACAATAATAGTTCCCAATCAAGTGGCATCTTAGGTTGCAGCTGAGCATAACTGAAAATATATTCTACAGGTTCTCCACAGCTGAGGCAAGCTGACTGTGTTGCATCCCAGCATATTTTACGTCCTTCAGGATTCAATGATGTTGATGCTTTGCCTCCAGTCCTTGCTGATGTCTGCCAGGGAGTTCTGGATGTCCATCATGTCCCCCAGGGCATAGTGGAACTGACTGAGGCCTGTTCGTGCCCCGTCTAACTGGGAGTGGATGGCAGCCTGGAGAGTGGGGCCAACAATTGTAAATGGTTTAGATAGGGCTTTACAGCAAGCAGACTCCTTCAGTATACATACACAAACACGAGAGAGAGCGAGCGCGAGAGAGAACGACTTCCAGCAGTGGACATAACTTTATTCAAAATGTCTGGAAAATGACCTTAACGTTTCTGTCACTCTCCTGTCCATCTCCCTGATGTGTTGTTTTAGCAGGCCGGTGTTCCAGTCCATGAGTAAGTGTCTGGGCTGTTCCCCGTCTGCGCCCCTCTACTGGGACACTCAGGACCTCAGCCTCACATCTACAGGGAGAAGGAGAGGGCCACTGAATAAGCAATTCAACTCAACAGGCTTTTTAAAAGTATTATTATATTATTTAGGAAATGCTCCATTATTAAATTAAATACAAAAATTGCTCTATAAAGTAATCCAACAATGTGTACGTCGCCATCTTGTCTATTTCAAATCTTCTCTCATTGATGAGACAGGCAAGTGTCATTCAAAGCAACGCTTGATTTCTGAGACACGCTCATGACATGCAGGGTGGACACCTACATGTCTCGCTCAATGAGAGAAGATTTGAAATAGACAAGATGGCGGCATACACATTGTTGGATTACTTCATAGAGCAAAACAAATTACACTCCATCTCCACTGCCAGACAGTTTTCAATGAGATATGGTCTCGCCTCCCTCAGCCTTTCTGAAGATATTTGCTGTCTGGTAGTCCAGTCTGATGAGACTGAGCAGTGGTGGTGAGGCCTTATCGTGGACATAGGAACTATTCCAAGAGATCCTGGAGTTCTTGGAGTATGCCATCTGTCCAAGAAATAGCTGCAAGATTAAGAAAGCATTTAAAAGTGACAGATTTAGGTATTATGCACTAATTAAAAGCAAACAAAATAATCTACCATACAGCTGATATGCAAACAAATTAAAGAAAATGTGTTATGCACTACAAATTAAGTACTTTATAACTACAAATGTATTTATCTTGAGTTTTTTCATGAAGCAGCATCAGACAACTGTTGATATTGGAGAAACTACATAAAAAAACAGTATTTGAAAGTGAAAGTGCGAGGTAGCATTATTACATCCTTAGTAAAAAATTATTGTAGGCCCATATGCATGGTATACAGTATAGGCTATGCACAGCACTGGGAGAAAACTGCTCTTAAAGTGGCTGGTGATAGTAAAGCACTCATCCAATTCCACTTTTATTACATATACTGTATGATCATGAGTTGTTCCTGACTGCTGATGAACTCACAAATCAGTGTGTATGAGCACCCTACCCAACTATTATAATCTAAGTTTGTCAAGACAATTTGTAAAGACAGTAAATGTGATATAGTACATCCCAACTTTCTTGGGAACATTGGTCCAGTCGGTGGTGGTATTGCAAGGATCTGTAACTAAAACAAGACAAACACATTTTAATATATGTTCCAGAATTGAACCATATTAAAATCTCAAATTTAACTATTTTACTAGTGTGCATCCAGATTGTGTCGTAATTGGCTGAAAGTGAGTCTGTTCAAATGTACACTAGAGGACCAAAGTACTGCTGGCTCTCATTTTGGTGGTCCTCTGTAGCTCAATTGGTAGAGCATGGCGCTTGTAACGCCAGGGTAGTGGGTTCCTTCCCCGGGACCACCCATACGTAAAAATGTATGCACACATGACTGTATGTCGCTTTGGATAAAAGCGTCTGCTAAATGGCATATTATTATTTTCTCTGTCTAATCAGGGAAATGAGACACCAGGTTTGTGGACTCAGGCCAATCAGTGAGCTTTACACCCAGGCAGATTTAATAGCTGGACTATGAGTTGTTCCTGGATCCGGCCCATCTCTAAAGCCTTGTTCACGAGGCAGACCTTAATGCTCAAATTATTTTTGTTTTTCAAATCCATTTTGGAATACTGATTGTCCAAACAGCAAGTTACAAGCGACCAAATCGGATTTTGTGTGTTCAGAAAGCAGTAATTTGTTGAAATGGCTACGCTAGTTGTCATAGTAACGACGGGTGTGCGCACAGTGTTGGGGTGGGGAGGAGGATTATTTAAGATAATGTTTGAAGAGGTAGGGTTTCAGATGCCCCCCCACCCCCCAAAGGCCGAGACAATAAGAAGACACAGTGGCAGAATACATTTATCAACTTTGTTTTATCACAAAACCGGATAGCAACCTCTATCCAGTGATTTCCACAAAGCACATTGCATGTACAGTAACAGACAGTTACATGACCTACAGCATGGTCAAGCAAGTTAATGTTTCCGACATTTTCTGACCCCTAAACAACTATTGATTTAGAACCACAGAGAGTTACCGCAAGTCGCAAAAAAAACAGGAGCTGCCTCCACTATTCCAGACTCTAATAGTCTAATACAGTTACAACTAAAAGATAGCAAAAACACTTTAGTCCAATCAACATAAGCTAAATATGATGTGGCTGTCCATGCTTCTGATTTCTGTGTGCGCGTTCGTGCAAGTAGAAAAACATGTTGACTCACCCTACATGTAGAGAAACGCCGATGCCATCCTTGCTCTCATGTTGACGAAGCGGTCTATCATTCTGTCATACAATACACGCTTTAATTTTTTGTTGTCCTAGACTACCTGGCTTAAATGCATTTTTTTGGGAAGCCTGGCTTCCCTTGGCACCCATGAATACACGCCACTGCATGATTGAATGGTCTCTTGGGTCTCCAATAAAAGTGGAACATTTGCTATATGTAATTTAAGTTCAATTAAATAAATCAATGTGTGTTTAGTACAGGGGTGAAAGTATAATTAATTTCTTCCCGGTACGGGACCAACATTTTTTATGGGCCTAATCATATAATTACATATATAATCCCTATTAATTCAATAGGATCTCTGTGGGCCTAGTCTTAAATATTTGTCATTTAACTTTTAAAATGTATTACCGTTTATTGTGGCATAAACACAAGCAGTCATGTTTTCATCTGTTGTCAAACAATCACTTCAAATGGCTCCTTTATCAGGCTACCCGCGCACGTTCATCCACTCGCAATATATCTCCAGCCTCCAAACAGTGGTGAATGGAAATAGACATCTGTTACACAAAACACCAAAAAGTGCAATGCTATTTGGCGATTGTCATTAGGCCAGAATGTATGCGTCCACTGCTGTCCCGCCACTCATCTCTACCTTGTCAAATTTTCAGTGCTCTCGTCGAACCACATCGCATTTTGGTGCGTAGGTATATTATCCGTTTTCAAGTCCATTCGCTCATTTTTCATGCCTCTGACCAGCGGTAATGATTACAAAAATAGTGCAATTGCCTACAGTTTTCTTTACATTCTGTTTTAATGAGGCTAGTGTGATAGGCTCATGTTTTACCGGTATGTACCCCCACCTTTTAATTTGTTGGGAGCCATACCGGACCGTACCGCCTTACTTTCACCCCTGGTTTAGGGGTGGCATATCTTTACCGTATGACTGCGGACGATTACCTGTTATTTTCATCTGTGTGTCAATCTGTTTGTAAAAACAACATTCATACAAAAAAACATAAAATAATCACAAACAACAAGTTATATGTTGTGGAAGACAGATATTTATGAAATAAATGTTTTACTTCTGTGACAAACCTTTTGTTTTGATGTTACTATGCATTTTCTAATTAGTGGTAGATTCAAATTAGGAAAACGATTTAGAATTTATAGTGTACACATTGTAGAATATGATTGGTTTGAAGAATGGAGTGAGAGGAAATTAAACCAATTACAGTGGCCAGTAGGAGGGATTTCCGCTCCGATAATCACAGTTAGCGGAAGCTATTCTTGTGAAGCTAACCGCCTCATCTTGCGCTATTGAGAAGCTAGCTTTCTAGTTAGCAAACTTCATCGTTTTGCAGGTTTAGTGTCGTCCTGAAAACGGTAAAGAAGCGATACACAAAGACATTCAGAGTTAGCTAAAGAAGAAAGAAAAGGCTGTACAGAAGAGCAGGTCAATGCCGCACAATTTCCAACCTGGAGACCTGGTCTTCGCCAAAATGAAGGGGTACCCCCACTGGCCAGCCAGGGTAAGCTAGTAGCAGCCGGAGTGAAGGGGGGTGTGCGGAGGGGACGCTGGAGTTTCGCTGTGCATCCTTGGCAATGACTGACATAGCTAATATTATATAGCCAGCTAGCCTTGCCTCGTGCTTGGAACTATATAACTGTTTTTTTGTCCTAGCAATCTATTTGCAAGATGTTTGAGGGACCATTTATGGAAAAGTATAACCAGGCTACTTTGTGAATGGCGTTCATGTTTGTCTTATGTGCACGTAATTTGTCCAACCAGGCAGCGCTAAGTAGCTACAGTACCTGTACTTTACTTTTGGTGTGTGTTGATTGAAGATGAAGCCTTCTTGATTTACAACTTTGCAGACTTGCTGCCCAATAAAAAAAGATCCTAGTTATAGTAAATTAACCAGGTGAGTTTTTGGTACAGTAAACACACATTTTATTTTCTGGAAATGCATCTTTGATGTGACGTGTTCACTTCTGGCCAGGATTTTTTGGCAGTGATTAGACAATTCTACAGATTCTACCAATCAAGGTGTCTGTCGGAAGTGAGGGGTCCAGACAATGCCACAATATTATTGCCTACTTATTTCCAGCCTTCCTTTCCTCAGTTGCCCAACCTGACTTGAGGATCAGACTAGAAAGCGCAGTGAATATATTATCTCCTGTACCTAATTTGGATGTCTCTCACAATGTGTTTTTGGTTGTGTGGGTCTCATTCTCCTAGATTGAGGATGTGGCAGACGGAGCAGTGAAACCCCCTCCAAATAAAATCCCCATCTTCTTCTTTGGGACCCATGAAACGTAAGTGCTGTGTCTCTTTGATTTAGAATAGCAGGAGGGGAATCTCTTTGGTTGGACTTGGTATACTACATCATCATCATCAAGGTCCTTTATTGCAGGGGTTGTCAAGCTTTTTGGGGCCGGGGGCCCCTTTTGTGATCGCAAATTAATCAGGGACTCCCTTATAATCAGAACATAGCTTGAGTGAGATAAAAATAGCATACAAGGAGTTCTACTATGACTTTGGCAGTGCATTTGCCTGGCTACCCAGACCCCTTGCTCTGGCCAAACGCTACGCCACCCCCACTGACTATAGTTTCTTCTCCGCAATGAAGAATGTAGCGAACGACAGAGCAATGGAATAATTTAGTGTGAGTCGTCAGGCTAGCAGTGCATGGCCGTATGAACCAAGTATCGAGCCCTGGGAAGGGACATTTTAAAGGCCCATCTCTTGACATCGGAGAGAATATCCTGCAGTTCTACACATTTTCTCATGGGGCAGAGATTTTTTGTTGTTGCAGCTTTAAAGCTAATATCGTGCAATTATACATGTTTTACCATGAGGCAGAGAGAACTTTGCAGTTTGAAAGCTTAAATTACAGTGCATTTATGTTAAAAATGTATATTTGTTGGGGGGGGATACAAGAAGTATTGAGTTGAAAAATGTATAGCTAGTGGAGTACTGTGAATATCAATATCCCTGTGAGCCTCCCAGGCCCATGTTGCCCAGGGTTAAGAACATAAATTGTAGATGAATAACATTGTATTGTATTACACCCTCTAAACTTTTCCCACCAATTCCTTGGCCAAAATCTGTTTAATCTGTTAGTAATATTAATTTAAAAAAATATTGAGGTCTGGCCGCGGACCTCCTGCAGTATCTCGGGTCTGCGGAGCCCACTTTGAGAACCCCTGCTTTATTGGATCAGTCGTTTTTTATATTTAGACGATGCAAACGGGGATGTTGTTGATTTGCATTTCTTTTCCAGTTGGTTCTGTTATTGTTGTTGTCCCCAGCTACCTAATGTGTTGTATGTTGTTTTTACTTGAAGTATCATAACTCATATTTCTGTGGAATGTATCCTCCATGTTTGTTGATGCACTGTATTTTCTTTAACTTATTTTAATCTTTTGAAACTCATTCATGTGTTTTTCATTACTGGTTTATGTCTGAAGTGATCTAGGTCAATTTGTGTGTGTAAAGTTCAGTCTTTTGTTTTGATCATACAGTGCTTATTCTGCAAGATGGCATATACACTATTCTTATACCACCACTAGGTGGCAAAAGATCCCTGTCAGTATTGTAGATCATGGCATTTACATAATGCAGAAACCCAGTGTGTCAGTTACCCTGAAAGCAGGGAGTTTGGCTGTGCTAAGTATCAGCTTTTTAATTCAGTGACTATTAGAATTACAGTCTCGTAAATACCATCACAATATATAGCATTGTCTTATCAAATCATGCTCTCTCTTCCTCAGCGCATTCCTTGCACCAAAGGACCTTTTTGCATATGAGAAGTACAGTGAGCGCTATGGGAAGCCTAATAAAAGGAAGGGCTTCAATGAGGGCTTGTGTGAAATCCAGAACAACCCTCACGCCTCATACAGTGCTCCTGCAGTAAGTACATCATATCCTCAGAAGTCCCACCCAATACCGTTTCTGTAATACTGACCAACTGCAACTGAGTGCTGTTATCAATGGTTTCTTTTTTTTCTGTGCACTTCGGATCCATTTAGATCAGAGACTCATTCCCTAAAAGGGATGTGATTGCCAAAGTTACAGTACTATACAGCTCCCTGTTGATGGTATTATCTGCTCGGTCAGCACTCTATCACATCTGTGTTTATCAACAAACACTTATGTTTGGGCATATCTCTTCCTTGACTCCCCAGCCTGCCAGCTCGTCTGACAGTGAAGCCAATGACGGTGCAGCAGGAAGTGAGGCAGGAAGCGAGGAAGCAGTGGTGCCCAGGAAAGCATATTCAGGAAGTGAAGTAGATTCTGACTCTGGAAGTGAGGATCGAGGAGGAGGAGGAGGAGGGGTGAAGAGGAAGGCCCCTGCTGCCAAGGTGATTGCGAAATTATAATTTCAGTGTTTTTGGATGTTAATTCCAACCAGACAACTGCTTTTGCTTAGATGTGTCTCTGTTATAATATTAAATCTCTCTGTTCTATCTCGCATTCAGCGGCCCCCTGTGAAGAAGGCCCGGGGTTCGTCCAGTGACAGGGATGGAGAGGAGAGTGGCTCACCCTCTGAGCCAGACCCATCCCCTTCTGACTCGGACTCTGGAAAGAACAGTGACCAGGTCAGTTGACACATACAAACATTATATTATACACTATGTTATACACTAGCATGATAACTTGGTGTTAATTTGATGGTTTCTTGTTTGTTTTCTCCTGTAGGACTTCACCCCAGAGAAGAAAGCAGCAGCAGGACGTGGCGGCGTTGGGAAGAAGGTTGGAGGTGGCAAAGGGAAGAAGGTGAGGAAAGGATGCCCTTCAGGTGTCAAACAGCCCTGGGAAGCTGAATAACTAAAGCACCGTTTGTGGTTTCACAGTGACTGCTGGCTCTCTCTCTCTCATTATGGTTTTCTCTCTCTCTGGGATGCTGTAGAAGGTGTCGTCAGACTCAGACTCTGACTCTGGGTCTCAGTCGGACAAGAAGAAAGGGGGCAGTGATTCAGAGGATGAGAAGCCACGGCCTGCTCTGTCTGGATCAGAATCCCAGTCTGGCTCCAAATCCGACTCTGACTCAGAGCCACAGCCACCTCCACGGAAGGCCCCTCAAGCGCGCAAGAAAGGTGAGGGCCATTATGTCTGGTATCCCACACAGTGAATGATAACTGTATTTGTCACTGCATAATCCTGTTCTCCGCCATTTGTCCCACTCAGAGAAGCCTCCACCAAAGCCTCGGGGTGGACGGAAACCCAAAGCTGCCCCGGTCAGAGCACCGGCGTCTTCCTCTGACAGTGACAGGTCAGCACGGCTCTAGTCTATTCCACATTGGTTGTGCTCTAATACATTATAAATGACTTTTATGAATAAATAAGTACATTATGAATGGTCTCCTGTACTACAGCGACAGTGAGCCGGACCGCGTCAGCGACTGGAAAAAGAGAGATGAGGAGCGTCGGAAAGAGCTGGAGGAACGCCGGAAGAAGGAGCAGGCAGAGGAGATCCTCAAGTATCGGGAGAGGGAGAAGGAAGAAGATGAGCAGAGAAAGAAGGACAAGGAGAAGGGAAAGAGCAGCGGTGAAAGCAGCTCAGATGAGGGCGTAGATGATCACCCACTGAAGAAGTCCAAGAAACCCCCACCGCCCCCCATCCCCGCCCCCTCTGACTCTGACTCTGGACCTGAGGTAACTGGCATGGAAGACTGTAAAGAGGGGACATTTGCTTGTTTTTGTTTTAGTATCATCTAGAATAGATTTGTTAAATTGTATTTTTCCCCCATTCAGGTGAAAGCATCTGCAAAGCGTTCAGACAACCAGAAGAAAGGGAGAACAAAGAAAGAGAGGGATCATGGTAAAGGCAAAAAGGAGAAAGAAGTGAAGGAAAAGCGAGCCCAGCGGTCAGAGGAGAGGCCCAGAGTGAGGTAAATTGCACATGGCTGAACAAGACAAAAGACCAGAGCACAGATCTCATTAGATGTTATCTTCATTAAATATAAATGCACACAGATCACTGAGCTCTCTCCCTCAGATCCAAGCCTGACAAGCCCAAACGCAAACCAGAGAGACCTCCCGAGAGGAAAGTAGAAAAGAAAAAAGGTCAGAGCTCAACGTTACTCCCAGTTCACCAATCCACTGTTTGTCCATTTGGAAAGCCTGCATATGGAAAACTAATTTGCATAATCTCACATTGTGTGACAAATGGTTGGTCAGATACAGTGCCAGGTAATATCAACTTTTTCGGGTCCTCACTCCTTGTCTTTTTGTGTCTGTACACAGAGCCAACCCCAGACGAAAAGCTGCAGAAGCTCCACACTGACATCAAGTTTGCACTGAAAGTGGACAACCCAGTGAGTAACCATATAAGGGGCTCCATTCATTGTCAACAGAAAAGTTATTATCACATAGTTGGGATTTTACAAGCAGCATGAGGAACCACATTTTTTTATTTGACCAATTAAGGGTTCCTTGCACATAGAATACTGCAATCATGTTGTCTGTTCTGCAGGACATAGAGCGCTGTTTACAGGCCCTGGCGGAGCTCGAGGCTGTGCCGGTCACCAGCCACATCCTGCAGAAGAACTCTGATGTTATTGCCACGCTTAAAAAGGTGCCTTTCCCTCTGAACCTCTTAATGAAAGTGAACCTTTTGCATACTGAACAAAAATATAAACGCAACATGCAACAATTTCAAAGATTTCACTGTGAGAGTTCATATAAGGAAATCAGTCAATTTAAATAAATTCATTAGGCCCTAATCTATGGATTTCACATGACTGGGAATACAGATATGCATCTGTTGGTCACAGATACCTTTAATAAAATGGGCCTCACAATCAGGATCTCGTCACGGTATCTCTGTGCATTCAAATTGCCATCGATAAAATGCAATTGTGTTCGTTGTCCGTAGCATATGCCTGCCCATACCATTACCCCACTGCCACTATGGGGCACTCTGTTCACAACGTTGACATCAGCAAACCGCTCGCCCACACAACGCCATACACGTGGTCTGTGGTTGTGAGGCCGGTTGGACGTACTGCCAAATTTTCTAAAACGATGTTGAAGTTGGCTTATGGTAGAGAAATGAACATTAAATTATCTGGCAACAGCTCTGGTGGACATTCCTGCAGTCAGCATGCCAATTGCACACTCCCTCAACTTGAGACATCTGTGGTGTTGTGTGACAACTGCACATTTTAGTGGCCTTTTATTGTCCCCAGCACAAGGTGCACCTGTGTAATGATCATGCTGTTTAATCAGCTTCTTGATATGCCACACCTGTCAGGTGGATGGATTATCTTGGCAATGAAGAAATACTCATTAACAGGGATGTAAGCAAATTTGTGCACACAATTTGAGATCTTTCTGGGATCTTTTATTTCAGGTCATGAAACATGGGACCAACACTACATGTTGCGTTTTATAGTTTTGTTCAGTGTAGATCCGCTGTGTATATCTCATCATCCCTTGTTTTATGGCCCCTTTGAACGCCACTGACGTTGTTCTGATTTGATGTTTGTCTTACTGTAGATCCGTCGATACAAAGCAAGCAGTGCCGTTATGGAAAAGGCCAGCCAGGTCTACAACAAATTAAAGGGGCAGTTTGTGGTCAAGTCTGAAATGCCAAGTAAACCCAAAGCTGAGGGAAAGGAGCAGGAAGAGAATGGGAAGGAGACACAAAACAAAGGTAATTCTCTCAGCCCAAACTTTTACCAACACTACTGATGGACTTAGTTACCGTTATCACATTTTCCTTATATTACCCCTCTTAAAGGAGAAGTTCACTATGGCTTTAATTCATAGACTTTTATTTTTCAATGTGTGTAACTAAAATAAAGGCCCATCATTTGTAGCCAATCAATTTATTTAGCATAACTTGTCATCAGATGTAACGCCTGTGAATGGGGAATCAGAAGTCCAGAAAAAGGAATGCACTGAGCTGGAGGATACCCCAAAGTCACCGGTCCAGGAAGAGAATGATGAGCATGTGGCTTCAAGCCCCAACAGGTAAACGGTCTCCTCCTATGTCACATAATTGTGTACTTCCTTTATTTCTGCTAATATTTGTTCAAAGTATCCATGGTAATATATTGCTCTACTCATTGGTACTGTGCTACCATCACAACGGTATATGTGGCTCTAGTTTTGAAGTCTTGTCTCTTCTCCATGATAGGCCCAGTCCTGATAGTCCTTCTGAGCAGCAGACGCACACTGATGAAACACACCACGCTCTCTCTGCAGAGACAGAACTGACAGCGATAGAGAGCTGAAGAAAATGGAATACAATTGTTTACCACAGCTAAAAGGAAAGCTCACTAGTCTTGTCCCAGATACATGGCGCTGTGCTGACCCCTTTGTTGTTCGCCATTGTATTTTGCCTTTTATAGGACACCTTGGCCAGTCCCCAATTCCTCCCCCTCAAGCTACCTTGCTTTATTTTTCTCCCACATGAACTCTAACTTTGGTCTTTCATATTGTATTTATATTGAGAGATTCAATTTTTAGCACTTCTAACAGGAAATCGAAGGGGGAGAGTCTTGTCATGAATGTTCTGCTTTGAAATAACTGTACTGTCACGTGAGTCAAGGCATCTGTTGGCTTTGCTTTGAGATTGATATTGGAGCCTATAGAAAACCTAGAAAAGGCTAATGTCTGTTGGACAAGTATGAGTCTGGTACTTTTTGTGAGTGAGTTTTTTTTATCTGGTAATTTCCTATTAATCCAGTCACACCATATAAATATTAAGCCATTGAACGGAACCACATCACGTTTTCCAACTAAATTCCACTAACCTTTTATTTTTTTTTTTATAAGTATGTTTTCTGATATTGCATCTGCTTTTGACTTACTGAATGCTGTGGAATTATTCGCCCTGTCATCTGGTCTTTCCCTCAATACCATCTGCTTTCAAAAATGTGCATATTGAACAGGATAATATACATTGTGTACAGACTGAATGATATGATCTTGATCCAAGTTGTCCAGATCCCATGTAGCTGGAGCCCATTTGACATTTGCTTGTCATACATACTATGTAAGTGTTTTTAGTGCTATGTAAAATAATTTGTATCATTTAGTTGAGTTAAATCAAAATCTCAGCATTGTGGTCCTAATCTGAACACTTCTGTTATTGAAGGCTCATTGTCATCACATGGTACTTCAAGGAAGTCCTATATTCCCATAAAAGTGTAGTTGGATTGGGGTGTGACTGGTGTAATAAATGTATACATACATTACAAGTTGTACAAGTTGTAATTTACAAACCTTGTAACCAATCTAGGGAAGCAGAATAGCTGCACACAGGGCCTATGCATGTGGTCAGCGGTGTTACATTTATACATTTATGCAAGTTACATCGCAGATTAATTGCCATCCTTTTACATGAAAATGTTCATTCAGTCATTAATGCTCATTGGGTTTGCTGTGGCAAAGAAAAATACAACTAAAAGGCTATCTACTGTGCACAATGTTGTGGACATTGACACTCACAGACATGGTGATTAATTGCATTCTGTATAGAGAATAAAACTGGAAAATGATCATGCATTCACAATGCAAACCGCGTACTAGGCATATCTTTAATTGCATTGATTCTCATAATGAGAATCCCACATATTAATACACCCAGTCAGCTGACGTTAGACGCCATTTTGTCAGCCATTTCCTATACGGATCCATTGCCAGTGTCTTTGCACAGTTATAGGACGCCCCATCTGGCTTCGCCTTCTCTGCCCGGGATTAGTAAACAATTACGAATCCCGCAAAAACGGTATCCGGGTGGATGAGAGACTGTCTAGCGGGCCGGTTAGCACCCAAAAGACCTCAACAGGCACTTTGTCCCCGAGGACAGAAGCGACAGAAGTCAGCAAGCAGCCATGGCTCTGAAGATTGTTAAAGGGAGCATCGATCGGATGTTCGATAAAAACCTTCAAGATTTAGTACGTGGAATTAGGAATCACAAGGAAGATGAGGTAAAACAATTAGCTGTGTTTTCGGAAATGTCCACTGTCAGTAAGTCAATGTTCGTAACATATCTCATTGCAAAAATATTCTAGTTAGCCAGCTACAGTAACTCACCTATTTGATAGCCATTCCAACCATATGCTAGCTGTCTGCTATCCACATAGATAACTAAGGAGTCTTGTCATGAAGTTAATCAGGACTGAGTAGGTAACCTAGATAGAAGCACTAGCTAATGTCAACTAGGTGGTAGCCATTTAGTCTACTCGATAACTGTCAATGTGTCATTGCTCGATAATAATCGTAATTTGGCTAGCTTTCAGGTGATTACTTTGACAGATATCTTTGGTGCAACCGTTCAAACTTTAGCTAGCTAGCCGCAAAGCTAATTAGCTAGCAAGTGACAGCTAAGAAGCTAACTAGCAGTAGCTAAGTTTATCCACCTCTGCTGATGTGATCAGGATGATGCGCGGAATAATAGTCTTCCTTCTTCAGCACTATTTTTCTCATTTATTTGCTAACAGACAGTATCTAGAAAAATATATAGTGAGTTCATTTTGTGTAAATTCATCTCCTATTGCATTAATAAAAACAGAGACATGCAAACAAAGTCTAGACGATTTTATTTTGTAGGCCTCGCTCTACAGCGTCAGTCAGGTGACAACGTTGCATAGGTAGACGAAAGGACGCTTCATCCACAGCCTTCTGATAACCTGGACTGAAAAACAGAGGCCCTTTTATCCAAACTTCCACACTTCCTCCACCTTTTAATGAATTCTGTTTGTACACTTATAGAAAATAGGTGAAGTGATACTCCTGAAGAGACATACAGCAGATCATCAGATGCTAGGCTTATGCAAGTTCACTAAAGATTTCATAATCATGCTTTATTAATATGGTTGTAGAATATACTAGCTATGTATACTGAGTTAGCAACATCAGAGGGCATCCAATGTGGTGTGGAAAACATGAATATTTAGTATTGCCATAACAGGGTACAGCTTCATAACGGTTGATTATATTTCTCTGTGGTATATGACAGCTGTTATGGTAGGAAATGCTCCTGTCTTCATGGGTGTCGCACCAGTGTTTTCAGGATGATGCCAGTGATGCTGTGTTCTGCTAATTAGATCATCAAAGAATCAGCATCATCACAGAGGGGTGTGTGACATTGGGTTGGCCAATAATCTGTCCAATAGAGGGCACTGTTGTTTGGATGAGATATGGAGGAGGAAGTTGCTCCAGAATGAATTCCTTAGTTTTAAACCGATTTTAAGTTTGGGAAATTATGTCACTTAGCAGAGACCATTATGCTGTTAGGTTGGATGTATTGCCACCATTCCAAAAAAGGTATGCCAGTCAGTAACTAGGACATATAACCCTAATTGCTCCTGTAAGTCGCTCTGGTTAAGAGCGTCTGCTAAATGACTAAAATGTAAATGTAAATGTATATAGGGAGTCTTTTATTGCTGAACTCTCTTGAGCAGCAGAGCGAGCCGGACCAGGCCTACTAAGAAATGTTGAATTGGGAATGGGATTTAGGCCTAAGTGTGAAATCGTGAGTTGACCTGTTCTACCATTTTAAGTCTTGGGTTATTTTATACACACCTTGATTGATAGCTGCTGCTGGTTTCCACAGAGCTGTGGTGGCCACTGAATAATAATTTCCCCTGTCAGTTATCTGGCAAAATAAAGTAAATGTTTTGTCATGTGCTTTTCCATTGCTTAGCTAGACCTACAAAGCATGATAGCTTTGACCGTATTTGACCATGGTCTTTTGATTCAGGTCCATATTGGGTCCCTTTTGTGTAACCTAACCCTGCTTACCTAGTGAAGGTGTTGGTTACCCAGCCAACAGTGGACAGCTCACTGAAGTATTAATGACTTGCGTGTGTTTGTGTGTGTTCTCTCCAGAGCTGCCCCTTGTTTGTCATGGACTCTATTTGCTTAATGCATATGTGCTGACGGATATAATACAGCTACACCTATTATACTTAGTCACTTCCTCATTTAAAAGGGAAGCAAATCTAAAAAGGTGTGAAGGCACACAATGCAATTGACATTAAATCCCAGATGGTAGAAGACAATAATATGTAACACTAACAGTGATGGTAGGTATTGTATTTGCTTATTCCTTTCCTGGAGGGAAAAACAGTGTCTGAGAAGGTCCCTCCACTGTCTCCCTGTACCTCCTGGAGAATCTGTTGTTCTGGCATAATGTAAGCCTTGGCTGTAGAACAACTATTCCAATTATTTCAATGGGATCTGAATTGGTAATTGAGTCAGAATGTGATAGAAAAGCACTCTGGTGATTCAGAGCATGGTCCTGTGTCTCCATCTCTGCCCTGCAGCCTGATTGCAAGTATAATGTGCAGAGTGCAAGCCCCCCTCCCTCTCCCCCATCACCGTGCTGTCTCATGACTGCAGACAGATGACCAGCACACTTGTATTATAGAGCTCTGTGTGTGTGTGTGTGTTCCACGTTTCTGTTTCACCAATGTTTTACTCTGCTCAATCAGAAAGTCTAACCAGGCTAAACAGTCTGTGTAGCAGATAAATGTAGCGGAAAACCTTGAATTAAAAGGTTACTCACTACTTATTCTTTAACTCCAAGTTCAGAATAAAACCCATTCAACCGTAGACTGAAAACCCTAACAAGCCTAAAACATTTCTGATCAGAAGCTTTGTTTGATTACCCTTTATTTTATAGATGTATAAAATGAATGACATTTCAAATGCCCTTAAGACTCCTCCCCTTACCTTAGACTATATGTTAACTGGTTCACGAGGTCAACCAGGAGATGAAAGTAAACTATCATGTGGAGGTTGTCATTGCTCTGTCTGATATTCCTCTGTCTCTCCTCAGGCTAAGTACATCTCCATCTGCATTGATGAGATCAAGCAGGAGCTCAAGCAGGACAACATTGCTGTCAAGGCCAATGCTGTGTGCAAGCTCACCTACGTAAGACCACAGACCAGCACCCCTCACTAAAACAGCCCTCACTGAAATTGCCCTCACTGAAACTGCCCATACTGAAACTACCCTCACAGTGAACAACACAGAGATGCACAAACAGTGATGCACAAACAAAAACACTTAAGTTATATATCCTAGGCCTACTATGTATACTTTTACACTAGATAGCAGCTACTTTGAACACTGCTGTACTCAGTAAAAGCTCTTTGATAATGCATTTAGGTCTCACTGCCACAGGGACAGCATAGTGGATGTTCAATGCCCTGACTCCATTTGTCTCTCCCCTGGTGTGTTAACAGTTACAGATGCTGGGCTATGACGTCAGCTGGGCTGCATTCAACATCGTGGAAGTCATGAGCTCCTCCAAATTCACATACAAGGTGAAAAAACTTGAATAATGTGCTTTATAATGTTGGTATTTGAGAATGTTCTATTGAAGATATAATTTGCCTTAGGTCAGAGGTTTAACATAGTGCTCTCTCCTACAGAGAATTGGTTACCTGGCAGCCTCCCAGTGCTTTCATGAGAGCACTGATGTCATCATGCTGACAACCAATCAGATCCGAAAGGTCAGTGTTGCTTTTTTCCTTCACACTTTTGGCCTGCCTGTCTCTGTTGATTTAAAGACCTGCTCTGATACCTGCTATTTCCTTTCTCTCCCTCTTTCTCTCTTTTCCATATATTTTTTTCTCTCAGGATCTGAGCAGTCCTAACCAGTATGACACTGGCGTGGCTCTCACTGGTCTCTCCTGCTTCGTGACCCCTGACCTGGCTCGGGACCTGGCCAATGACATCATGACTCTGGTGAGTCACATTCTCAGCCACAAGAGTTCTTTCTGCACGTTTTTGTCTGTTTCATGCTTCTCTGACCTATCTCTGTCTGCCCTGCAGATGTCCCACACAAAGCCGTACATCAGGAAGAAGGCAGTCCTGATCATGTACAAGGTGTTCCTGAAGTATCCAGAGTCTCTGCGCCCTGCTTTCCCCAGGCTGAAGGAGAAACTGGAAGACCCTGACCCTGGTGAGCTAGACTACCTAGTACCTACCTGCTTCTCTGTTGGTTGGGGCCAGACAGATTTTTTTAATCACCTGGAATCATAAATTATGCAATAACTAAGGAATTGAGTGTCTTAACTGATGGAAGCTATTTTAAATAATTTGAATGCATTTTACCTCATTCGTATCCTAATGTCCTTAAGCATGGATTTTGTTGATCTAATCTCAACACTCTCCCTGTGTGATGCCTCTGTCCTGTAGGGGTCCAGTCAGCGGCTGTTAATGTCATCTGTGAGCTGGCCAGGAGAAACCCTAAGAACTACCTGTCTCTGGCTCCGCTCTTCTTCAAGCTCATGACCTCCTCCACCAACAACTGGGTCCTGATCAAGATTATCAAACTGGTGAGTGAACAGGGAGAGAGCTGTGGGAATCAATGTGTGTCAGTAACTGTGGAAGTAACAAATTATTGCCAAGTATCACATCATGGAGAGGTGTTGCTCCATTTTAGAGTGTGTGTGTGTGTTTCAGTTTGGTGCCCTCACACCCCTGGAGCCTCGCTTGGGGAAGAAGCTGATTGAGCCCCTAACAAACCTCATCCACAGGTAAAAAAAACACTCACAGAGATCCAACCAAGGGGGTTTTGTTCAATCCCTATAACGAAAAGTTGTCTGATGAAAGTAATGACCTTCTGTCTATCCCTACTGCTTTTCTTACCCTTTCTTCCTCTCTTACAGTACCTCTGCTATGTCACTTCTATATGAATGTGTCAACACTGTAATAGCAGGTCAGTATTCGTCTTCTCACTTGTTCTTTTTGTAGGTACATTTTCATTTAGTCTGTGTGCAGGGTGTAGGCATCTCTCTTTGTGAAGCTTGTGTATAAACTGAAGATGTGGGCAGTGGGAACATGCCCAGTTATTTCTGGCTCATAAACACTCATAATAAAAAGACAATATTCTCTTTGCCATGTCTATAATCTTCAGTGTGGGCAGTTGTTTTTTTGTATGCCTGTGACGTGCTACAGAGGAGGTTGTGTAGACTGTGGTTTGTTTTATGTTAAGTGAAAAGCATCACTGTGCTTTTAAGATTTGAAGCTGGTGATAAATTGTTTTTGACAAGTATGTAGAGTTGTTGTCACAGCAGGATCTGATTGTCGTTATCTGTTGCAGTGTTGATTTCCCTGTCCTCTGGGATGCCAAATCACAGTGCTAGTATTCAGGTAAGTTTCAGCCTTCATTTTCACGTCTTCTCTTGTAGCTGATGATGTTAACCCTTTCCACTCCAATTTGATGAGAATGCATGTTTAAACCATGAATCTTTTTTAAATTCTTTGTTTTTACCATACAAGTCTTTTTCAAAAGATGAACACCAACAGATCAGACAGGCTAGTGCAACTGAATAAATTGTGTCTGATTTTTATAGCTCCTAAAATGTCTATATAAATGTATTTAATGTACAATGACATCAGCTGGGATCTACGGTCACTTTTGCCCCAATACAGTTGCTGAGCCCAAATGATAATGCTAACACTGGACCTGAACTGATAGTAATGTCACTTTCCCCTCTCTTCCTCCCTTCTTTCTCTCTATCCTCAGCTCTGTGTTCAGAAACTGCGAATCCTGATTGAAGACTCGGACCAGAACTGTGAGCCCTCTGTCAATGCCTGCAGTGTGTCATTCTCTCATTGTCTGCGTGTTTCTGAGTAGCCACCCATCTAGCTTACGACAACCTAGATCCCAAACTCTGGATAACTCGACATTTTGATCATGGTCCCACATTGGGGGCTGTTTTTACATTTCACTGCACATAGTTGCAGTTGTGACTGTATCAAAAGGTAGGGTTTTGTCTTCACATCCATTTATACATCTCTACTTCATCAGGCAATTTAGTTTTTAAATTTTCAGTATATTTGATAAGTAATTCATCGGTCTAACAGGTTACAGCTAACAGTAAGTTAAACCATCTACGATCATTATGTTGATGCAGCTGGTGATTCGAGTTATCTGGGCCCCTTAGTAGGTTGTGTGTAGATTAGATATACGTGGGCAGCTAGGTTTTGTTTTTAATTTGAGTTCTCTTGACCGTTTCGCAAGTTGGCCTCAACTTCAACAGGCTCTTGCCCTCCCTTGCTCACATTTGACACCACTTTAGTCTCAAACATCATAGTGTTTACAGGGCTTCTCCTGACCTGCTCTGATGAAACCGAACCTGTATCTGCAGCGACAGTACTTCACCTCAAGGTCACATTCACACATATTGATCCATAAACCTGATATGCAGCTATCTGTGTCTGAGGTATCAACAGCCCAGATAATAATTGGATGTTATCGAATGCCTGATTCAGCAAAAAAAAATAGTGTTTCTGTTATCGGGTTATTGCACTATGGCTACATCTACCTAGGACTCAAGTTGGTGGCAAAAAACGAAACGTCCATGTGTATATGTTGTCTCGTGTGAGTGTCTGTTCTCCATCGTTTTGTGTTTGTCTTTGTCTTTGTATTTTCCTTTCCTTTGTTTTAATGTAATGTTTTGTAGAGAAAGAATCATATAAATCTGTGAAAATATCAGGAAGTCAGTCAGACAGCATGTTATGTATACTATACTGTGTAGACAGTCATATTATAAAGGCGTTCAGAATAGTGATAACGGCCTACAGTAATGAGTCTAATGTAATCGGTGAGGTTTCAGCAGGTGAGAGGGGCTAGTGAAGACAGCCAAAGAGACATAGATTGTTCAAGATATTTTGGGTGACCAATAGACCTCTTGTGCCCTAAGACAGGGAGGTAGGCTATAGCCATAAGATAATGTATACTGTGGAATGTAAAGGCATGCTGTATGGCTCGTAGTACAGTCTCCATAGTGCAGAACCTCTAGTCTAGTGCGTAGGGAAGTAGAGTAGAAGGCCCAGTGTATAGTGCCCTGGCCACTGAGTGTGTTGTCTCTGTTCATAGTGAAGTACCTGGGCCTGCTGGCCATGTCCAAGATACTGAAGACTCATCCCAAGTCTGTCCAGTCCCACAAGGACCTCATCTTGCAGTGTCTGGACGACAAGGACGAGTCCATCCGCCTGAGGGCTCTAGACCTGCTCTACGGCATGGTGCGGATAACTGTCATGGCACATTGTCATCGAAAACACACTTACCCTAACCCCATGTCTTCACCACACCTCAGTAACCGAAAAGGTTGCTGGTTCGAATACCCGAGCTGACAAGTTGAACAAAATCTGTCTGTGCCCTTGAGCAAGGCACTAAACCCTAATTTGCTCCAGGGGCGCCAACCTATTAAGTCTGACCCTGTAAAACAATACATTTCACTGCACCTATCCGGTCAATACAAAAAATTTCGATCTACTCAAGGGGAAATGCCTTTAGCTTAAGAACCTCCCTGATTCTATTGATAGCCTAATGCCTCCCAGAGGGGTATACTACCTACCTGGTTTGAGGAGTTAGCGAGGTAACTTTGGACAACTCTGAGTTCAACTCGGGATAACCGCTAACATAAAATTGGCTCACCTTTTAGCTACAGTGCTATGAAAAAGTATTTGCCCCCTTTCTAATTTTCTCTACTTTTGCATATTTGTGATACTGAATTATCAGATCTTCAACCAAAACCTAATATTAGATCAAGGGAACATAAGTGAACAAATAACACAACAATTACATATTTATTTCATTTATTTCATAAACAAAGTTATGCAACACCCAATTCCCCTGTGTGAAAAAGTAATTGCCCCCTTACACTCAATATTCTGGTTGTGCCACCTTTAGCTGCAATGACTCCAACCAAATGCTTCCTGTAGTTGTTGATCAGTCTCAAGTCGCTGTGGAGGAATTTTGGCCCACTCTTCCATGCAGAACTGCTTTAGCTCAGTGACGTGTGGGTTTTCAAGCATGAACTGCTCGTTTCAAGTCCTGCCTCAACATCTCAATTGGGAGTAGCTCTGGACTTTGACTAGGCCATTTGAAAACGTCCAATTTGTTGCTTTTTAGCAATTTTCATGTAGACTTGATTGTGTGTTTTGGATCATTGTCTTGCTGCATGACCCAGCTGCGCTTCAGCTTCAGCTCACAGACGGATGGTCTGACATTCTCCTGTAGAATTCTCTGATACAGAGCAGAATTCATGGTTCCTTCTATTAAGGCAAGTCGTCCAGGTCCTGAGGCAGCAAAGCATCCCCAAACCATCACACCACCACCACCATGCTTGACCTTTGGTATGATGTTCTTACTGTGGAATGCAGTGTTTGGTTTTCGCCAGGCATAATGGGACACATCTCGTCCAAAAAGTTGACTCAAGTTTGCCAAAAAGCACCTGGATGATCATCAAGACTCTTGGAAGAACGTTCTATGGACAGCATGATTCAAAAGTATAACTTTTTGGACGACATGGTTCCAGTAATGTCTGGCGAAAACCAAACTCTGCATTCCACAGTAAGAACATCATACCAAAGGTCAAGCATGGTGGTGGTGGTGTGATGGTTTGGGGATGCTTTGCTGCCTCAGGACCTGGACGACTTGCCTTAATAGAAGGAACCATGAATTCTGCTCTGTATCAGAGAATTCTACAGGAGAATGTCAGGCCATCCGTCTGTGAGCTGAAGCTGACGCGCAGCTGGGTCATGCAGCAAGACAATGATCCAAAACACACAATCAAGTCTACATGAAAATAGCTAAAAAGCAACAAATTGGAAGTTTTGGAATGGCCTAGTCAAAGTCCAGACCTAATCCCAATTGAGATGTTGTGGCAGGACTTGAAACGAGCAGTTCATGCTTGAAAACCCACACGTCACTGAGTTAAAGCAGTTCTGCATGGAAGAGTGGGCCAAAATTCCTCCACAGCGACGTGAGAGACTGATCAACAACTACAGGAAGCATTTGGTTGGAGTCATTGCAGCTAAAGGTGGCACAACCAGTTATTGAGTGTAAGGGGGCAATTACTTTTCACACAGGGGAATTGGGTGTTGCATAACTTTGTTTATGAAATAAATATGTAATTGTTGTGTTATTTGTTCACTTATGTTCCCTTTATCTGATATTAGGTTTTGGTTGAAGATCTGGTAACATTCAGTATCACAAATATGCAAAAGTAGAGAAAATTAGAAAGGGGGCAAATACTTTTTCATAGCACTGTAGGTGAATTTCTATGGCAACGAATGCTTTAGAACTAACCTGCTCCGGTGAAGGCTAACTCAGGTCTAACTAAATTTATCCTGAATAAATCTAGTTAGTCTGAGCCGTAAATTGAGGATCAGTGAAATCAGATTCTCTCGCAAACATCATCATCTTGCCCTTCATTTGAGGAAGATGACCGATTTAAAAAAAAAAAAAAAAAAAAAAAAATTAAAAAAAAATTTTTAAAAAAAAATAAATAAATAAAAAAAAAAAAGAAAATATTATATATATATATATTTTATTTTATTTTGGTTAAATTGTCATATTAAAATACCTATTACATATTTAGTAATGACAGGATGTATTTGAAAGTACACGCAGAGTAAAACGTCTGACATTCTAAAATTATTTTGATAGGAATGGGTAAAAAGGTGCTGTGTGCATTGATAAGCACAAAGATGGTATTAACTATATGTAATAAAAGAAAGACGTTACTTCTAAAAGCCTATTTCACATCATAGCCTGCTGAATTTGCAAAATAACTCTTCTTTCATGTAATGTGGCACTGACTCGCCCGTGGATTAATTGTTTCAGCATTGTCGCAATGAGGAGTTTGGGGTTCAACTAGCCACGTGCGACATGTACACACAGTTACAAGCCTGCTAGAGTTAGCGGTTAACGGTTCACCAAACCCACGGTTCGGTACGTATTGCGGTTTTGGGGTCACGGTTAAATTAATTACATTAAATGCCATTCACAATGTAGAGCATTCACAATGTTTCTGGCATTATCTGTTGTGCCAGGATTGTTATGTTGGGCCTCAAGTTTCCACTGATGCTGCGTTTGTAACCATGTGGGTGGTGGGAATTTACCAGTTGTGAAATCGTAAATACCAATGCATTCATGTGATTTGAACTTGTTGAGAAATGCTGATTGACTAATGGCCAACAAGCTGCGTCAATCATAAACTAAAAGTACAGCTATCATGCTTGTCAGTGGTCGAAAAAGTACCCATTTGTCATACTTCAGTAAAAGTAAATATACCTTAATAGAAAATGACTCGAGTAAAAGTGAGTCACCCAGTAAAATACCACTTGAGTAAAAGTCTAAAAGTATTTGGTTTTAAATATACTTAAGTATCAAAAGTAAAAGTATAAATAATCTCACATTCCTTATATTAAGCAAACCAGATGGCACAATTTTCTTGTATTTATTTACGGATAGCCAGGGGCACATTCCAGTCCGCCAGATCAATAGGGATGTTCACGTGATAAGTGTGTGAATTTGGACCATTTTCCTGTCCTGCTTAAGCATTCGAAATGTTATTAGAAAAAATATTTTGTATTTTTTTGTGTGGTACTTTTACCCCTTTTTCTCCCTAATTTCATAATATCCAATTGGTCATGTCCCATCGCTGCAAATCCCCTACGGACTCGGGAGAGGTGAAGGTCGAGAGCCAATTCATAGAAAATGTAAACTTTGTCTTGCTTATATAGAGCGGGTAATACCTGCTTGCTGAAGTGGGTGCAAGACTGCTAGACGGAAGTTCGTAACGTGGCTCGGGCACTTTCACGATGTGCTGAAACCCCCTATTCTCAACCACCGAGAATGGGCGCATATCCGACTGTAAAAAATATAGAAAGCCTACTTATCGCGCTTGTAATTTCTTTGGCCTGGTCAGAATCAGCTGCCAACTTGCCAAGGGCTGCTTTAATGCAGAGGGGGGACGATGTTGTGTTTCTTTTGAGTTTCCGTCTTGCTCAGGTATACTAGGGTGATGTCGGCGTAAATGTGTCAACATATTTGAGATTTCTGCAGGCTGCTGCATAGGCTATTCTCATTGAGTGTGGCGACATACTGTTAACGTTTGATCCCAGACTCTGTCCATCGCCGTTGTAATCTAATATTCCCAAACTGGAGACGAGGATTAAGGATCCTCCAATTCTGGTTTATCGGCCCGTAACACTCGCCATAGTTCAGAACTAGTTTCCGGCTGCGCCTCACAAAAGGACAGTTTTGAAATGTGCCAATTAAGATTTAAATGTCGTTTACAACGTGCGCATAGGCTCCAGTTGTTTTTAACAGAATAGCCTGAAATATTTTTTCAGATCAGATTTACTCGAGGCATAGGCCTACAATGCGGTGTAGGCATAGCCTATAGACCTAGTGTTTTTATTTATTTTATTTAATTTTTATGTATTCATTCGGGTTCACATTGCGGACTGAATCGAGGTCCCTGTACTGAACGGTTTGGTACGAATATGTGTACCGTTACACCCCTAGTTAGCGGCAGGCGGACAAGCAATATCCACGTCATAGTACGTACTGGTCACAGTACAGTTTCTGATGCCCCCATGGCGCTGTTTCTCATTGACTATTTGTGTCCTCCCAGGTGTCCAAGAAGAACTTGATGGAGATAGTGAAGAAGCTGATGCTGCACGTGGACAAGGCTGAGGGAACCACTTACCGAGATGAGCTGCTCACCAAGATCATTGACATCTGCAGCCAGAGCAATTACCAGTACATCACTAATTTTGAATGGTCAGTACAACTTACTGGCGGGGCCTATAATTGTCTCGGATTCTTTTAGATGCGTACTTTCATTACACACTTTTAAACTAATACTTTCTGTGATCATGAATCTCTCTGTGTGTCTCAAGTAGCGTTGAAAGACTGAGTCAATTCGTTGAAGTAATGTGTCTTGGTGTATTGTACTCTATAGGCTGATCTGCTCTTACTTATATGTATTTTTGTAAGTTATTTGTAAATAGTTCACAAAGGTTTTTTTGGGATGACCTACCATGTAGGGGCCTACCTTCCACTCACCTGTTCTGAGGTACATCAGTCTGACTGTCTCTGTCCTGTGTCCATCTCTCAGGTACATCAGTATCCTGGTGGAGCTGACCCGTCTGGAGGGCACGCGGCACGGCCACCTCATCGCCTCCCAGATGCTGGACGTGGCCATTCGGGTCAAGGCCATCCGAGCCTTTGCTGTGGCCCAGATGGCTACTCTGCTGGACAACGCCCACCTGCTTACCGGCAACACACAGCGCAACGGCATCTGTGAGGTGCTCTATGCTGCCGCCTGGATCTGTGGAGAGTTCTCAGAGTATGTATTCATATTTATTCCTTTTCTGCAAGAGTACACACACACACCACACTTTTTTGCGAGACTGTTTTCCACTAAATCAAACTAGCTAACATCAGGCCAGTTCAGCCCTATATCATTGGCTTATCTCTCAACCAGTACCATCCTCCATCTTCCCCCAGACACCTGGAGGATCCCATGGCGACCCTGGAGGCCATGCTGCGGCCCAAGGTGGCCACCCTGCCGGGCCACATCCAGGCCGTGTACGTGCAGAACGCTGCCAAGCTGTTTGCCACGGTGCTGCGCGGCCACGAGGGGGTGCCAGCGGACAGCACGGTGGCCCAGGAGACCAGCCAGCTGCTCATCGACAGGCTGCCTCTGTTTGTCCAGAGTTCCAACCTGGAGGTGCAAGAGAGGGTGAGTCACACAGGGCCTCACACAGCTAACCTTAGTTAACCTCTGGGGGCTATTGGCCGTTTGAAAGGAAAATACCTTTTTCACTATGCATCTCTCTTTGACCGCCCCCCTCACTCCCCACCCTCTCCCCTCCCCAGGCTTCATGCATCTTGCAGTTGGTGAAGTATATCCAGAAGCTGCAGCAGAAGGACGTGGAGGTGGCTGAGGAGGTGACGGCTCTGTTTGCTGGGGAGCTCAACCCTGTGGCCCCCAAGGCACAGAAGAAAGTGCCTGTTCCTGAAGGGTCAGTCTGCCTGCTGCTCTCTTCTACTCACAGTGCTGTTAAATGAAGCTTATAGTGATACACAACATTACATCTTTTTTTTTATAGGACTACTTTATACAGCCCATTACACAATTTTAGATATTGCAAAGTAGCTTTGTTTTTTTACAGTCTGTCTTGCAGACTACTGAATGTCAGTCTATGATGAGTCATATATAAAGTGCATACACAACATCAACAGAGACTTAGTGATAATAATAAAGCACTAAACACATCCCTATTGAACAGTACAGCTGGTGAGAATGTGTTATCTTTGTTTTGCCTCCAGTCTGGACCTGGATGCGTGGATCAACGAGCCTCCGTCTGGGAGTGAGTCTGAAGATGAGGGCAGGAAGTCCAAGGGCAAAGCTGTGTTTGCCAAGGAGGAGTCCAGACACACCAAGCCACGCTACACTGAGGTGGACGAGAAGGAACTGGCCAAGGTAAGAGGGAAATGTAGAAGACGACAATCACTGCTGTATACATATTGATATTCAAGCTCATCAATTCTTTCATCAGTTGATCTTTTGCTGGTGTTAAATGTTTGGTGATGCTAAAACAATCAGACACCGAAGACGTACACTGGTACACACCACTCAACCATAATATAAACACACTATAATTTTCATATGACTGAATTGATGCTGTTTCTCTCTCCAGAGGAGAGAGGTAAGGAAGGCAGAGCAGGCCAACAACCCCTTCTACATCAAGGCCTCCCCCTCCTCTCAGAAGGTACGCAGAGCATCATTACCCAATCAGCAGCTAGTCTTATGTATTATCCTGACTCTTGCAGAAATGTAATTAATTACACATTTGAATATACTTCCATCTAAATATGATAATTTTAATGGACTAGGAGCCTTTGTGGTATATGCCATTCACATCCCTGTGTTATAGTTCCTGACGTGTGTGTGTGTGTGTGCAGGTGTACCAGGATGGTGTTGGTGTGGAACACATTCCAGTGGTGCAGATTGACCTCAGTGTGCCTCTTAAGGTCCCAGGTCAGTTCCTCTGGCCACTAGATTATAAACTACCGATTTCAATGTACAGTGTCTGTCAGTGGTCCTGTAGACAGGACTCTGTATCCAAACCTAACCCATCTCCCTCTTTCTCTCTTCGCCTCTGTGTCATAACTTAACCCCTCTACTGTACCACTTTCTCTCTCATCTCTCTCTGTAACAAAACTTAACCACTCTTTCTCCTTCCTTCTCTCTCGCTTTCTCTCTTCCTTTCTCCCTCCCGTTTGGTTTAGGGATGCCAATGTCAGATCAGTATGTGAAGCTGGAAGAGGAGCGTCGGGAGAAAAACAAGGCAGACAAGAAGAAGAAGGACAAGAAGCAGAGGAGGGAGAAGGGCGAGAAGGGCCGCCGGAGGAGGGGGGACTCTGTCCCAGAGAGCGAGGAGGACATCACCCCTGCACACATGGTGGACATCGTCACTGAGGAGATGCCAGAGGTAGGGGCTTACACATGGTGTTCAGAGTAGAGGTCTTCACGGATCCAAAAGTTGACCTGTTCCGAAATTGACCTTGGGCCTTCCTACCCGGACTCGAAAAGCATAAATTAATTTGTTTAATATAGAGACCCGTTCCGTATAGATCTGGTCAGACCCGGTCCGATCCGAGTGATGGAAGCTGCAGAAAAGTAGTTTTTTAAAGCTACTTTATTAACCAAAGCTGATAAAGCGGGAGAGGAGGGAGTGCGAGGTGCCGCTTTAGCAGGCGGGGGAGTGAGCGACTGACACGGGGAGCAGGGAGGGAGAGACAAGAGACAGAAACCAACCAACATGCCCACTCGCACTATAGTAGACTAATAGCTGCCATAGCTAGGTTATTTATCATCAAATATGAGTACATAGTACCTGTCTTGACTGCATCAAACCGGAAGAAGCTAGTTATGCTAGCTAACGTTAGCTAGCTAGGCTAATTGAGACTGCAGTGCATGCGCTTTCTCATTCTACAGTTACAAATAACAACAACTCCATTCAGAATATTAAGTAGCAGCCTACCTGTTAGCTCTTGGTTGTTGTAGCCTATCCTTCTCCTTTCTATTCCATCTTCCAATGATTATTTATCTCCTAACTTCTGCCACACACGGAGGCTCTATGACTGTAGCCTATTGCCACTTTGATGACTTATAATTGGCCATCAACAACAACAAGCTACATGCTCCACTCTGGTGAAAAGTAAAGGGCAGCAGCATAAATTATAACATTTCTCTCTCTCTACTGCAGCAGTCACGTTCGGATCTGTACGGGCCCTTCTGGACAAGTCAGTTAAGATTACACCTACAGAGACCCGTGACATTCATATAAGATCTGACCCAGACCCGTTATATTATTTAGATTTCCGGATCGGGTCTCGGATATTCGGATACAGGTGGATCCGTGAAGACCTCTAGTTCAGAGCGTTTCATATAGGAATGTAAGGTAAAAGAGAGCCCAAAACCTCATGAAAGGGGCTCAGGTCAAGAAGCCATAATACGTTTGTGGTTATATTGAGTGGTAATTCACATTAATTTCATATTAAATGCAAGGATATTATTTTGCACTGTCACTAACTCTACTCTCTTCCTGTCTCAGAATGCCTTACCCAGTGATGACGACGACAAAGATCCCAACGATCCCCACAAAGCTCTGAACATCGACCTGGACAAGTGAGTTCACTCATCACTGACCTCTCTGTATTACAGATGTCCGCTAATGGATTAGTATGAAACAGCAGGCTATATAACCAGGCTGTGCTATTATATACTCTGTGGGGGTGTATAATATCTCCCTGGCACCACTGATGAGAGATTGGTGCTAGTGCTGCCCTGGCCCTCTCCATCCTCACACACTCCCGCTCACTGTGCTGTGCTCTGCTCTGTGGTTATCACCCTCTGTCTCTCTCTCTCTCATGCGCACACACACCTCTCTGTCCCCTTGCCCGGGCAGTTTGCTGGCAGCATCTCGCAGGTGAGTACATTCTCAGTGTCAGGAGAGGCCCCGTCTGGGCCTGCATACTAAACTGACTGATCTGCTGTTCTCTCTCTCTCTCTCTCGCCTGCCCCCTCCCACTAACAGCATTACTCTCTCTCTTCATCTGATTATTTCTCTCTCTCTCCGTTTGGGCATGACGTGACTTTACAGTTTGAAGTTTGATCCCAGTGTTCAACAACACTATTTTCTCCCACTCACCCCTACTCCATTTGAAACCTTCTACAAGCTCACTTCAGAATATCAGCATTCCCTCCATACAAAACTCTGTTATTGTGGCAGGAGCTGAAGAAATGCGCTCTTCTCACCAAATAAACAGATTGATGTGATGAGAGTTTATAGATAGTTAATAGATTTCTCAGTGGAGCTACTGATTTTCTGAAGTCATAACTCAATCACCAGTACTACTCCTGGATGACTACTGTGCTGCTCTTTTTATTTCAAATCCTCACCCAATTCATTGGTCTTCTTCAACATAATGTTAATCGCTAGTTATTGGATAAACCTGTTAATGGGGGTGTCCCTCCTGACCCACCAACTGTGCCTGAGGAATGGCTTTGAAGGTTTGTGTTTGAGATGTCGTGCACCTGAGTGGAGTGGATGACTTTGTCTCAACTAGCTTCCTTTCCTAATCTCCTTTCTGTCACTGGCATTGATAAGTGAAAGGACTGGATAGGTGTCCACCATGCTGCTTTTAACCTGTCCTTTCCAGCCAGATTAGTGGTCATGGAGGAAAGGAGACAAGGAAAGGAGACTAGTTAAGACTATTGAGATGCAGCCAATGGCTCTGGTTTGACCAGAATCCCCATGCACACCCAGGGCTGTGGTTTTATCAGTGTGTCTCCTTCTCTCTGTGCTCTCAGGCCCCTGGCAGACAGCGAGAAGAAGCTGCCGGTCAGGTCACACCGTCCCGACGAGGTCCTCAAGAGCCCCATGGAGGACGGGCAGGGGGTGGAGGTTGCTCCAGAGCCCAAGAAGAAGACCGGAAAGGAGAAGAAGGAGAAGAAGAAGACAAAGGATAAGGACAGGAAGGTTCGGCTCCATCTTTATTTCTTTTAAAAATATTTTATATATTTTTGACATCTGTTTCCCTAGTATTTGAGACATTATTGACTTGAGGATTGTGTTTTTTGTCATTGTAGAAGAGTAAAGAGGAGAAGAAGAAGAAAAAACACAAACAAGAGGAAGGGGAGGATCTTATGGGCGCTGGGTCAGAGGAGCCTATCCAACCAGAAGAGACCAAGGGGGTGGCAGCCCCGCCTCCTGCCTCCACACCAGAGGTATGATGTCACAAAGGGAGGGACTACCTTTTATACAGGGACAATATATTTTTGGGCGACCCGACCAAATTCACATAGAAAGCAAGTCTAAGAAGAGTTAGATCTGTTCTATGTACACTATTTCTATGCTTCCCGTTTGTAAGTTTCACTTTTGCGTCTTTTACTTTCGGTTTTGTACACCAGCATCATACAGCTGAAAATACAATACTTTTGCAGAAAGAAACAAGGTCATAAAAATCAAACACATTCATCAGTAATAAGGCCCTCAATCAGCTTTCTGAATTGCCCTAGAGGCACCAAAACATCAAATTTAAGAAAATGTTGGAGATTGTTCCACAAATAAGGTGCAAGAAAACTAAAAGCTGATTTACCTAAGAAGCTGAGAATAAAAATGGGCTTCTTCTATAGAACTAGGTCATGCCTCTCGCTAAATAGTAGAAAGCAGGTTATTCAGTCGACGTTCCTAACGGTCATAGACTGTGGCGACATCATCTATATGAATGCAGCTGCCATTTCATTAATGCCATTAGATGTAACAGCACTTACAGTTGACCGGGGCAGCTCTAGCAGGGCAGAAATTTGACGAAATAACTTGTTGGAAAGGTGGCATCCTATGACGGTGCCACGTTGAAAGTCACTGAGCTCTTCATTGAGGCCATTTTACAGCCAATGTTTGTCTATGGAGATTGCATGGCGGTGTGCTCGATTTTATACACCTGTCAGCAATGGGTGTGGCTGAGTTAGCCGAAGGGGTGTCCACATACTTTTGTATATATAGTGTACTTATAAGCAGGGACACTATCAATATGGGCACCATCCAAAGTACATATGCTTAAATCATCAGTTACTTTTATGCATTCTATAGAACAACATACAGTGCCTTCAGAAAGTATTCATACCCCTTGACTTATTCCACATTTTGTTACATCCTGAATTCAAAATGGATTAAATAGATTTTCTTTCTCACCCATCTACACACAATACCCCATAATGACAAAGTGAACACGTTTTTAGAAATGTTTGCAAATGTATTGAAAATGAAATACAGAAATATCTAATTTACATAAGTATTCACACCCCTGTCAATAATTTGTAGAAACACCTTTGGCAGCGATTACAGCTTAGAGCCTTTTTGCGTAAATCTCTAAGAGCTTTGCACAACTGGATTGTACAACATTTGGCCATTTATTATTTTCAAAATTCTTAAAACTCTGTCAAATTGGTTGTTGATCACTGCTAGACAACCATTTTCAGGTCTTGCCATAGATTTTCAAGTAGATTTAAGTCAAAACTGTAACTTGGCCACTCGGGAACATTCACTGTCTTCTTGGTAAGCAACTCCAGTGTAGATTAGGCCTTGTGTTTTAGGTTATTGTCCTGCTGAAGGGTGAATTCATCTCCCAGTGTCTGGTGGAAAGCAGACTGAACCAGGTTTTCCTCTAGGATTTTGCCTGTGCTTAGCTCCATTCTGTTAATTTTTTTATCCTGAAAACTCCCCAGTCCTTAACGATTACAAGCTTACCCATAACAGGAGGCAGCCACCACTATGCTTTAAAAAATGGAGTGGTACTCAGTAATGTGTTGTATTGGATTTGCCGGAAACATAACACTTTGTATTCAAGACAAAAAGTTAATTGCTTTGCCACATTTTTTGCAGTATTACTTTAGTGCCTTGTTGCAAACAGGATGCATGTTTTGCAATATTTATATTCTCCTTTTCACTCTTGTCAATTCTGTTAGCATTGTAGAGTAATTACAATGTTGTTGATACAGTTGAAGTCGGAAGTTTACATACACCTTAGCCAAATACATTTAAACTCAGTTTTTCACAATTCCTGACATTTAATCCTAGTAAAAATTCCCTGTTTTAGGTCAGTTAGGATCACCACTTTATTTTAAGAATGTGAAATGTAATTGTAGAGAATTATTTATTTCAGCTTTTATTTCTTTCATCACATTCCCAGTGGGTCAGAAGTTTACATACACTCAATTATTATTTGGTAGCATTGCCTTTAAATTGTTGGGTCAAACGTTTCGGGTAGCCTTCCACAAGCTTCCGACAATAAGTTGGGTGAATTTTGGCCCGTTCCTCCTGACAGAGCTGGTGTAACTGAGTCAGGTTTGTAGGCCTCCTTGCTCGCACACGCTTTTTCAGTTCTGCCCACAAATGTTCTATAGGATTGAGGTCAGGGCTTTGTGATGGCCACTCCAATACCTTGACTTTGTTGTCCTTAAGCCATTTTGCCACAACTTTGGAAGTATGCTTGGGGTCATTGTCCATTTGGAAGACCCATTTGCGACCAAGCTTTAACTTCCTGACTGATGTCTTGAGATGTTGCTTCAATATATCCACATCATTTTCCTTCCTCATGATGCCATCTATTTTGTGAAGTGCACCAGTCCCTCCTGCAGCAAAGCACCCCCACAGCAGGATGCTACCACACCCGTGCTTCACGGTTGGGATGGTGTTCTTCGGCTTGCAAGTACCCCCTTTTTCCTCCAAACATAACGATGGTCATTATGGCCAAACAGTTCTATTTTTGTTTCATCAGGACATTTCTCCAAAAAGTATGATCTTTTTCCCCATGTGCAGTTGCAAACCGTAGTCTGGCTTTTATATGGCGGTTTTGGAGCAGTGGCTTCTTCCTTGCTGAGCGGCCTTTCAGGTTATGTCGATATAGGACTGATTTTACTGTGGATATAGATACTTTTGTACCTGTTTCCTCCAGCATCTTCACAAGGTCCTTTGCTTTTGTTCTGGGATTGATTTGCACTTTTCGCACCAAAGTACGTTCATCTCTAGGAGACAGAACGAGTCTCCTTCCTGAGCGGTATGATGGCTGCGTGGTCCCATGGTGTTTATACTTGCGTACTATTGTTTGTACAGATGAACGTGGTATCTTCAGGCGTTTGGAAATTGCTCCCAAGGATGAACCAGACTTGTGGAGGTCTACACATTTTTTTTCTGAGGTCTTGGCTGATTTCTTTTGATTTTCCCATGATGTCAAGCAAAGAGGCACTGAGTTTGAAGGTAGGACTTGAAATACATCCACAGGTACACCTCCAATTGACTCAAATGATGTCAATTAGCCTATCAGAAGCTTCTAAAGCCATGACATTTTCTGTAATTTTCCAAGCTGTTTAAAGGCACAGTCAACTTAGTGTATGTACACTTTTGACCCACTGTAATTGTGATACAGTAAATTATGTGAAATAATCTGTCTGTAAACAATTGTTGGAAAAATTACTTGTCATGCACAAAGTAGATGTCCTAACCGACTTGCCAAAACGATAGTTTGTTAACAAGAAATTTGTGGAGTGGTTGAAAAACGAGTTTTAATGACTCCAACCTAAGTGTATGTAAACTTCCGACTTCAACTGTACATCCTCAGTTTTGTCTTATCACAGCCATTAAACTCTGTAATTGTTTTAAATCCTTGAGAGGTTTCCTTCCTCTACTATTTTATTTTTATTTTTTATCTACCAATAGCAACCCTTCTTTGCGAGGCATTGGAAAACCTCCCTGGTCTTTGTGGTTGAATCTGTGTTTGAAATTCACTGCTCGAATGAGGGACCTTACAGATCATTGTATGTGTGGGGTACAGAGATGAGGTAGTCATTCAAAAATCATGTTAAACACTATAAAATATATATTGAGTATTAAAACATACAATCTACCTGCTTTGAAGCTGCTCAACTTTTACATTACGTTCAGTCATCTAGCAGACTCTCATCCAGAGCGACCCACAGGAGCAACCAGGGTCAAGCGCCTCGCCCAAGGGCACGACGACAGATCTTTTTCTGTAATACAATGAAGGCAGACTGTAGGTCAGATAGAGCCTGGTCAACCGTGGTGGCAATAGCATACACAACAGTATCATTGGCATGGTGCAGGTTAATTTTTGTCAATATTGTTAATGTAAACAATAAAAAGTACAGGACCCAGAATCGACCCCTGCAGGACACCTTTCGTTATGCTCAGAAAACCTGATTTAACACCATCAGTAGATACACATTGAGTTTTATCTGTCAAGTAATTTTGAAACCATTTACATGCAGCCTGGTGTAGGCCAATTGAGGAAAGCAGTGAGTTTTTCAACAGTATCGAAGGCCTTTGACCGGGAGAGGGCAGCACAATGTTGCCTTTTATCCATACAGTTAACCACATCATTTATAACTAGGGATGCAGCAGAGATAGTGCTATGACCTGGTCTAAAACCCGACTGATGTACATTTAGAATACATTTCAAAGATAAGAAAGATCTTAGCTGAGAATGAATAAAGGATTCTAATATTTTAGCTAGGCAAGAAAGTTTAGGAATAGGCCGATCATTAATTATTTAGTTCGTAAGGATAACCACCTTTGAAGGGGGAGTACATGGGCCACCTTCCAAACCTTGGGGATAGTACCACATATAATCGTCAGGTAAAAAATATGGGTTAATGATTCCACATTTGGGGGGCAGAGAGATCAAATAAAATAAAATTGTATTGGTCACATGCGCCAAATACAACAGGTGCAGACATTACAGTGAAATGCTTACTTACAGCCCTTAACCAACAGTGCATTTATTTTTAACAAAAAAAGTAAAAATAAAACAACAAAAAAAGTGTTGAGAAAAAAAAAAGAGCAGAAGTAAAATAAAGTAACAGTAGGGAGGCTATATATACAGGGGGGTGCCGTTGCAGAGTCAATGTGCGGGGGCACCGGCTAGTTGAGGTAGTTGAGGTAATATGTACATGTGGGTAGAGTTAAAGTGACTATGCATAAATAATTAACAGAGTAGCAGCAGCGTAAAAAGGATGGGGTGGGGGGGCAGTGCAAAATAGTCCGGGTAGCTATGATTAGCTGTTCAGGAGTCTTATGGCTTGGGGGTAGAAGCTGTTGAGAAGTCTTTTGGACCTAGACTTGGCACTCCGGTACCGCTTGCCGTGCGGTAGCAGAGAGAACAGTCTATGACTAGGGTGGCTGTAGTCTTTGACAATTTTGAGGGCCTTCCTCTGACACCGCCTGGTATAGAGGTCCTGGATGGCAGGAAGCTTGGCCCCAGTGATGTACTGGGCCGTACGCACTACCCTCTGTAGTGCCTTGCGGTCGGAGGCCAAGCAGTTGCCATACCAGGCGGTGATGCAACCAGTCAGGATGCTCTCGATGGTGCAGCTGTATAACTTTTTGAGGATCTGAGGACCCATGCCAAATATTTTCAGTCTCCTGAGGGGGAATAAGCTTTGTCGTGCCCTCTTCACGACTGTCTTGGTGTGTTTGGACCATGATAGTTTGTTGGTGATGTGGACACCAAGGAACTTGAAGTTCTCAACCTGTTCCACTACAGCCCCGTCGATGAGAATGGGGGCGTGCTCAGTCCTCTTTTTTTTTTCCTGTAGTCCACAATCATCTCCTTTGTCTTGGTCACGTTGAGGGAGAGGTTGTTGTCCTGGCACCACACGGCCAGGTCTCTGACCTCCTCCCTATAGGCTGTCTCATCGTTGTCGGTGATCAGGCCTACCACTGTTGTGTCGTCGGCAAACTTAATGATGGTGTTGGAGTCGTGCCTGGCCATGCAGTCATGGGTGAACAGAGAGTGCAGGAGGGGACTGAGCACGCACCCCTGAGGGGCCCCCGTGTTGAGGATCAGTGTGGCAGATGTGTTGTTACCTACCCTTACCACCTGGGGGCGGCCCGTCAGGAAGTCCAGGATCCAGTTGCAGAGGGAGGTGTTTAGTCCCAGGATCCTTAGCTTAGTGATGAGCTTTGAGGGCACTATGGTGTTGAATGCCGAGTTGTAGTCAATGAATAGCATTCTCACGTAGATGCAGCAAAAATCAGCCCCAGTATTTTTTCTTTAACATCAATCTTAAGCAAGGCATCTAGCACATCACAGGTAGTAAATTGTTGAAATGAAAACAAAGATTCACTAGAAGTTGACGGGTTATCCGTCAAGTCAGCTAGAGGCTGGCAGAGGGAAGAGCAGTTGATTGACTGACCAGGTTCAATTAAACCACAGTTTCTCTCAAATAAAAAGCTTGTCAAGATAAAATGATGATTAAAAGCATCACTTATCCCATTGTTCTCAGTTATGATGCCAGAGTCCGACAGAACTTGCTTAGGCAGGGAAGAAAATGAATTTGTACGCTTCAGTGCATTTACTGTTTTCCAAAATGTAGAAGGATTACTAGCAGGCTCAGAGATGGAGCTTTAATAATTAGCTTGATTTAGCTTTCTTAATCAATATAGTACATCTGTTTCTCAGTTGTCTGAAAGATTGCCAGTCCACTACAGAGTCAGTTTTCCTTGTTTTGGCCCAGGCCTGATTTCTCATCTGAATGAGCTCTGATCGCCCTGAAGAAAACCAAGGGTTAGATCTATCTTTGACTCTGAATTGTTTAAAAGGGGTGTGTTTATCGGCCAGAGGAATGAATATGGAGGATACACATTTTCTAGAGTGAACTCTGGGATAGGAATACAGGAGGTAGTGGCTTAATCAGAGTAGAACATTTAATGTAAAAACCCTTGAGGATAACATTAGAATGAGTATTTTGCTGTCCGGTATCTCTAATACATACTATGGGAAAATGATCACTGAGATCATATTTAAATATGCCTCTAGACAAATATTTATGGGGGTTATTAGTAAGAATTAAATAAATCAATGAGGAGTTAATCAATGCACAATTACATTCTGTGTAGGGTATTTTGTCAATCCTGTTATTCATCTACATCTATTGTAGAATGAGGACTGACACTAAATAATTTGAAACTAAACTAAGAATTTGATTTGAATTAAAGAGGTCAGATAATTAGTCAAGCAAACACATTTCTTTGATCATTTTCATTCATCAAACATTGTCATTGCTGCATTCAAGCCCCCTCCCATCCTATCAGCAATAAAGATTAAATCAAGTATTGGTATGTGTGCTAAGATTTCAGTGCGCGTAGTCTCTCTTGAAATACTTGATTTATTCATGAAAAGAACAGTGTAATCTCTGTATCCATTTTCATGAAGAGGTAGCGCTAAAATGTTTAACCTGTCTGCCCCCAACCCCCTCGCCCCTCCCTCCCTCCCTCCCTGTTCTAGGCTTCGGATCTGGATTTCTGGCTCTCAAATGCTCCAGTGCCCTCTAACCCTCAGGTTGAGTTCCTCTCTCTCTCTTAGTCATTCCTTGTCCTTGTTGTAATTTGTGTTCTAACATCACCTCTTCATGCATCCTCTGCTCTCGTCTGATCCTCCTCACCATGCGTGGTTCTTTCTTTCCTTTCTTTCTTCCATTCACTCTTCTCTTCTTTCACACTTACATTACTTCCTCTCTTTCACAGGTCACATAACCCTACTCATTCTTGGGCTGTGGTTTTCTGTTCTTTGTAATTGTGTTTCTTAGTGTTGGTTCTCTCTGTTTTTGTTTTCCTCACTGTGTGTCTGTTTCCTGTCAGTGGTGGTCACAGTTGTTGTCAAGTTCAGGGGCCTCAGAGTGTCTGGAATCTTGCTGACAGTTCCTGTTGATCAAGTCAAACCACAGCAACAGTAGCACAGCTCTTCGTGTGTATGACTACATATAGACAGTGTTTTTGACTACTGACTGAGTGTTTGTGACTACATACCCTGTGCGTGTGACTGCACATGGACGTGTGTGTGTGCAGACGACCTCTCTAGCCCAGAGCAGCTGTTAGACCAGGCGGGAGACTAAAGAGAACAGTACAGTATTCAGTTTGAGCTCAGACTAGGTCATAAAGTTACTTTAAAGTATCTGTGACCCCACACTCTCTGTCCTGTGTTCAGCCCCTGCTGTATGTGACTGTTTAAAGCAGAATCTGATCATTGGCCTGTACGTTTATTTGGGGGCTCTGCATGTTGAGAAAATGTATAAGGAACATCACACCAACCGTCTGCCCTCAGGAAATAGGCTGTACGTCTATCAGTCACCCAAACGTCCTGTTTGAACATGTTTCTGTTCTTCTGTTTTTTTTGTGTGTGTTTTGAGTCTATCGTTCCTCTAAAGCACAGATATCTATCTATCTATCTCTTGCTGATTTTGTATCTTTGCCCACTGACAAAGGCAAAGGTTTATTTGAACAGTGAGCGACAGAATAACAACAAAAAAATCCAGAAAAACGCATGTCAAAAATGTTATAAATTAATTAGCATTTTAATGAGGGAAATAAGTATTTGACCCCTCTGCAAAATATGACTTAGTACTTGGTGGCAAAACCCTTGTTGCCAATCACAGAGGTCAGACGTTTCTTGTAGTTGGCCACCAGGTTTGCACACATCTCAGGAGGGATTTTGTCCCACTCCTCTTTGCAGATCTTCTCCAAGTCATTAAGGTTTTGAGGCTGACGTTTGGCAACTCAAACCTTCAGCTCCCTCCACAGATTTTCTATGGGATTAAGGTCTGGAGACTGGCTAGGCCACTCCAGGACCTTAATGTGCTTCTTCTTGAGCCACTCCTTTGTTATCTTGGCCGTGTGTTTTGGGTCATTGTCATGCTGGAATACCCATCCACGACCCATTTTCAATGCCCTGGCTGAGGGAAGGAGGTTCTCACACAAGATTTGATGGTACATGGCCCCGTCCATCGTTCTTTGATGCGATGAAGTTGTCCTGTCCCCTTAGCAGAAAAACACCCCCAAAGCATAATGTTTCCACCTCCGTGTTTGACGGTGGGGATGGTGTTCTTGAGGTCATAGGCAGCATTCCTCCTCCTCCAAACACGGCGAGTTGAGTTGATGCCAAAGAGCTTCATTTTGGTCTCATCTGACCACAACACTTTCACCCAGTTCTCCTCTGAATCATTCAGATGTTCATTGGCAAACTTCAGACGGGCATGTATATGTGCTTTCTTGAGCAGGGGGACCTTGCGGGCGCTGCAGGATTTCAGTCCTTCACGGCGTAGTGTGTTACCAATTGTTTTCTTGGTGACTATGGTCCCAGCTGCCTTGAGATCATTGACAAGATCATCCCGTGTAGTTCTGGGCTGATTCCTCACCGTTCTCATGATCATTGCAACTCCACAAGGTGAGATCTTGCATGGAGCCCCAGGCTGAGGGAGATTGACAGTTATTTTGTGTTTCTTCCATTTGCGAATAATCGCACCAACTGTTGTCACCTTCTCACCAAGCTGCTTGGCGATGGTCTTGTAGCCCATTCCAGCCTTGTGTAGGTCTAAAATCTTGTCCCAGACATCCTTGGAGAGCTCTTTGGTCTTGGCCATGGTGGAGAGTTTGGAATCTGATTGATTGATTGCTTCTGTGGACAGGTGTCTTTTATACAGGTAACGAGCTGAGATTGGGAGCACACTTAATCTCAGCTCGTTACCTGTATAAAAGACACCTGGGAGCCGGGAAATCTTTCTGATTGAGAGGGGGTCAAATACTTATTTCCCTAATTAAAATGCAAATCAATTTCTAACATTTTTGACATGCGTTTTTCAGTTTTTTGTTGTTGTTATTCTGTCTCTCACTGTTCAAATAAACCTACCATGCAATTATAGACTGATCATTTCTTTGTCAGTGGGCAAACGTACAAAATCAGCAGGGGATCAAATACTTTTTTTCCTCACTGTATGTGTGTGTATATATATATATATATATATATATATATATATATATATATATATATATATATATACATACATACATACAGTGGGGAGAACAAGTATTTGATACACTGCCGATTTTGTAGGTTTTCCTACTTACAAAGCATGTAGAGGTCTGTAATTTTTATCATCGGTACACTTCAACTGTGAGAGACGGAATCTAAAACAAAAATCCAGAAAATCACATTGTATGATTTTTAAGTAATTAATTTGCATTTTATTGCATGACATAAGTATTTGATCACCTACCAACCAGTAAGAATTCCGGCTCTCACAGACCTGTTAGTTTTTCTTTAAGAAGCCCTCCTGTTCTCCACTCATTACCTGTATTAACTGCACCTGTTTGAACTCGTTACCTGTATAAAAGACACCTGTCCACACACTCAATCAAACAGACTCCGACCTCTCCACAATGGCCAAGACCAGAGAGCTGTGTAAGGACATCAGGGATAAAATTGTAGACCTGCACAAGGCTGGGATGGGCTACTGGACAATAGGCAAGCAGCTTGGTGAGAAGGCAACAACTGTTGGCGCAATTATTAGAAAATGGAAGAAGTTCAAGATGATGGTCAATCATCCTCGGTCTGGGGCTCCATGCAAGATCTCACCACGTGGGGCATCAATGATCATGAGGAAGGTGAGGGATCAGCCCAGAACTACACGGCAGGACCTGGTCAATGACCTGAAGAGAGCTGGGACCACAGTCTCAAAGAAAACCATTAGTAACACACTACGCCGTCATGGATTAAAATCCTGCAGCGCATGCAAGGTCCCCCTGCTCAAGCCAGCGCATGTCCAGGCCTGTCTGAAGTTTGCCAATGACCATCTGGATGATCCAGAGGAGGAATGGGAGAAGGTTATGTGGTGGGATTATGAGATAAAAATATAGCTTTTTGGTCTAAACTCCACTCGCCGTGTTTGGAGGAAGAAGAAGGAGGAGTACAACCCCAAGAACACCATCCCTACCGTGAAGCATGGAGGTGGAAACATCATTCTTTGGGGATGCTTTTCTGCAAAGGGGACAGGACGACTGCACCGTATTGAGGGGAGGATGGATGGGGCCATGTATCGTGAGATCTTGGCCAACAACCTCCTTCCCTCAGTAAGAGCATTGAAGATGGGTCGTGGCTGGGTCTTCCAGCATGACAACGACCCGAAACACACAGCCAGGGCAACTAAGGAGTGGCTCCGTAAGAAGCATCTCAAGGTCCTGGAGTGGCCTAGCCAGTCTCCAGACCTGAACCCAATAGAAAATCTTTGGAGGGAGCTGAAAGTCCGTATTGCCCAGCGACAGCCCCGAAACCTGAAGGAACTGGAGAAGGTCTGTATGGAGGAGTGGGCCAAAATCCCTGCTGCAGTGTGTGCAAACCTGGTCAAGACCTACAGGAAATGTATGATCTCTGTAATTGCAAAGAAAGGTTTCTGTACCAAATATTAAGTTCTGCTTTTCTGATGTATCAAATACTTATGTCATGCAATAAAATGCAAATTAATTACTTACAAATCATACAATGTGATTTTCTGGATTTTTGTTTTAGATTCCGTCTCTCACATTTAAGTGTACCTATGATAAAAATGACAGACCTCTACATGCTTTGTAAGTAGGAAAACCTGCAAAATCGGCAGTGTATCAAATACTCCCCACTGTACATACACACACACACACACACACACACACACACACAGGACCAGTCAAAAGTTTGGACACACCTACTCATTCCAGGGTTTTTCTTTTCTTTTTACTATTTTCTACATTGTAGAATAATAGTGGACATGTGTGTATATGTTGTACGAGATCTTCAGTTTCTTGGCAATTTCTCACATGGAATAGCCTTCATTTCTCAGAACAAGAATAGACTGACGAGTTTCTGGCCATTTTGAGCCTGTAATCGAATCCACGATTGCTGATGCTCCAGATACTCAACTTGTCTCAAGAAGGCCAGTTTTATTGCTTCTTTAATCAGCACAACCGTTTTCAGCTGTGCTAACATAATTGCAAAAGGGTTTTCTAATGGTCAATTATGCCTTTTCAAATGATACACTTGGATTAGCGAACACAATGTGCCATTGGAACACAGGAATGATGGTTGCTGATAATGGGCCTCTGTACGCCTATGTAGATATGCCATTAAAAATCAGCCATTTCCAGCTACAATAGCCATTTCCAACATCAACAATGTCTACATTGTATTTCTGATCAATTTGATGTTATTTTAATGGTCAAAAAAATTGCTTTTCTTTCAAAAACAAGGACATTTCTAAGTGACCCCAAACTTTTGAACAGGAGTATGTATATATGTGTGTATGTATATACAGTTTGAAGTCGAAAGTTAACATACACTTAGGTTGGAGTCATTAAAACTCGTTTTTCAACCACTCCACAAATTTCTTGTTAACAAACTATCGTTTTGGCAAGTCGGTAAGGACATCTACTTTATGCATGACACAAGTAAGTTTTCCAACAATTGTTTACAGACAGATTATTTCACTTATAATTCACTGTATCACAATTCCAGTGGGTCAGAGGTTTACATACACTAAGTTGACTGTGCCTTTTAAACAGCTTGGAAATTCCAGAAAATGATGTCATGGCTTTAGAAGCTTCTGATAGGCTAATTGACATAATTTGAGTCCATTGGAGGTGTACCTGTGGATTTATTTCAAGGCCTACCTTCAAACTCAGTGCCTCTTTGCTTGACATCATGGTAAAATAAAATAAAATCAGCCAAGTCCTCAGAAAAACAATTGTAGACCTCCACAAGTCTGGTTCATCCTTGGGAGCAATTTCCAAATGCCTGAAGGTACCACATTCATCTGTACAAACAATAGTACGCAAGTATAAACACCATGGGACCATGCAGCCATCATACCCCTCAGGAAGGAGACTCATTCGGTCTCCTAGAGATGAATGTACTTTGGTGCGAAAAGTGCAAATCAATCCCAGAACAACAGCAAAGGACCTTGTGAAGATGCTGGAGGAAACTGGTACAAAAGTATCTATATCCACAGCAAAACGAGTCCTATATCGACATAACCTGAAAGGCCGCTCAGCAAGGAAGAAGCCACTGCTCTAAAACCGCCATATAAAAGCCAGACTACGGTTTGGCGTAGTCTGGCTTTTTGGAGAAGTGTCCTCTGGTCTGATGAAACAAAAATAGAACTGTTTGGCCATAATGACCATCGCTATGTTTGGAGGAAAAAGGGGGACCTTGCAAGCCGAAGAACACCATCCCAACCGTGAAGCACAGGGTTGGCAGCATCATGCTGTGGGGGTGCTTTGCTGCAGGAGGGACTGGTGCACTTCACAAAATAGATGGCATCATGAGGAAGGGAAAACTATGTGGATATATTGAAGCAACATCTCAAGACATCAGTCAGGAAGTTAAAGCTTGGTTGCAAATGGGTCTTCCAAATGGACCATAACCCCAAGCATACTTCCAAAGTTGTGGCAAAATGGCTTAAGGACAACAAAGTCAAGGTATTGGAGTGGCCATCACAAAGCCCTGACCTCAATCCTATAGAACATTTGTGGGCTCAACTGAAAAAGCGTGTGCGAGCAAGGAGGCCTACAAACCTGACTCAGTTACACCAGCTCTGTCAGGAGGAATGGGCCAAAATTCACCCACCTTATTGTGGGAAGCTTGTGGAAGGCTACCCGACACGTTTGACCCAAGTTAAACAATTTAAAGGCAATGCTACCAAATACTAATTGAGTGTATGTAAACTTCTGACCCACTGGGAATGTGATGAAAGAAATAAAAGCTGAAATAAATCATTCTCTCTACTATTATTCTGACATTTCACATTCTTAAAATAAAGTCGTGATCCTAACTGCCCTAAGACAGGGAATTTTTACTAGGATTAAATGTCAGGAATTGTGAAAAGCTGAGTTTAAATGTATTTGGCTAAGGTGTATGTAAACTTCCGACTTCAACTGTATATGTATATATGGTCCATTGGAACAATGTCAGCATTAAAGAACTTCTTAACAACAAACAAATTACTACAACTTACCCAAGCTGCTACTACTACCTGTACTTGTATATGATCAATAAATGACAATGCGTGTTGTATATAAATTATCCTCCTAAATATGTCCAAACTAACTTTATTGGTGTGTGTTGACAGGCAGCAGCAGAAGCAGAGGATCCCACTGCCTCCACCCCTAAGATGGTATCTGGTGTGGCTGCCGTGGCACCAGACTCTGAGCCTGAAGAGGCCAAAGACACTGAGCCGGAGGAGACTGTGAGTCACTCCACTCTACTGATGATGCCATAATCACAAGACAGAAATCTTAGCTGTTACTAAGGATTCTACATTACAGACCACTACAACAGGATACTGTATTTTTGACAGATCTTGTCTGAGCACTTCCCCATTGGACATTTTCACTCCCTCTTTCTGAATCGACTGACCTTCACTTCATCCCCTGCTTGTTTCCCTCTTAGAAGTCCTCCAAGCACAAGAAGAAGAAGAAGCAGAAAAAGGAGGAGAAGAAAAAGAAGCACCATCATCATCATAATCATAGCGATGGGGCCGGAGACGAGTCTGTGCAGAACGGCACTGTGGAGGAGGAGGAGCCTCTGCCGGTCAGTAACCAATCACCTTTCACGCTGTCAATTCTCTGACCAATCCCTGTCCATTATGTAAAATCCCTGTCCACTGGATGTTTAATTCATAGATAAGCTCTCGTTTTCATTGTATGGTTTTGGTCTGTTGACACATCCCCACCTTCACCCTTTGATTGGCACAGTCAAGTGTGCATTGTGTATACGCTGGCTGTCTCAAATAGCATATACATAATCCACACGTCGGTCTGGTTGCCTTGTTTGCATATTGAGTGACGGGCAATAACTGACCAGACGCTTCTCTTGTTACAGCCCATGTCCAATTACGCCCTGCTGGCTGAGAACTCCTACATCAAGATGGTGAGCGTGATTGAGAGAGAAGCTTGGCTGAACTAAATAAAAATACTATTGTATATTATATGTGGATGGCTGATGATATGGGAACTGGGAAGGGTCATTTTAACATAAAATATAAATACTATATGTGGACCTCCTTTTCTCTCTTTCAAGATGAAGCAGGATGCTGATAAGGTATTGGCTGAGGTTCTGTGAACTGCAGGCTATGGGTTTTACAGGATAATATTATATATGTGCTGTATGGTTGTGACTTAGACTGTGCCCCCTGGCTTAATTACCCTGTGATAACCAAGCTGTTATGCAGAGACATGCATATATTGGAAAACGTGTTATTCAGAACACCGTAAGCCAGGGGCATCCTCTTGTGTTTGACGTTATGGTTCTTTACTATCCTATTAGTGCTTCCAGATTGCTTATGAAAAATCACATGGGATTCATGTTGGGATTGGAATGGTTGAATCGATTTGCTGGTTTGCTGTGGTTTTGCATGCAAGTCAATCTGCCGGGCTCCTTGTGTGAAGACTGCTGGCTACGGAGTGGATCGACCTCTGCTTTATCTCTCCCTTCATCCCTCTCCTCCAGGTGTGTGACATCCAGGGGAACCTGCAGGACGGTAGCCAGGTGGTGGTCTCTATCATCTTTGAGAATAAGTGCGACAGCTTTATCAAGTCAATGGAGTTCAATGTGCTGGACTCTCTCAACTCCAAGCTGCAGCGGCCTGATGGAGCTGGCCCACATGACGGCCTCAACGTGCCCTTCCAACTACCCCCCGGTGAGGAGAGAGCGGGATGGAGACTATTATTGAGAACTACATTCACTTCCAAATATTAAAATTCCTGTTTTACATCCAGACTAATCTGTTTGATCTCCTCTTGTTCCTCAGGGATCTCAAACGAGGCACGCTTCATCTTCTCAGTGCAGAGCATCGTGATGCCCCAGAAACTGAAAGGAACCCTCACATTCATAGTCAAGGTGAGTTAGTCTAGCCCACGCTTTGTGGTGGGCTAGACATCGCCCCCACTAGCCCTCTTTGTGAGTCTGTCTGCGACTTTGTCTCTGGATACAGTCTCTTTTACTGCTCAAGGTTTGGCTGACTTATTTCTCATCCGTAAAAGCGTATTATTAATCTTCTGCTGTTATAATGTTCTCTCACAGACTGATGATTCCTCCACTCATGAGAAACTGGACTTTAAACTGCACTTTACCTGCACCTCATACCTGATCACCACTCCCTGCTACAGGTCAGTGCAACTAGCTGCCCTCAAAGAACCTCATTCTGCTGTTCAATAATAATGAATGTTACCTAACTGTATATTTGGAGCGATTGGCTTAGTGTGTTGTGCCCTGATCTGAACTCATGATTAAACTGCTATGTGATGTGTAGTAAATGTGATTGCTGCTGTTGTTGTTTGCAGTGATGCTTATTCTAAGCTGTTGGAGTCAGGGGACCTGAAGGGGAGCTCTCTGAAGCTGGAGGGAGTTAATCAGCCCTTCCACCATCTACTGGCCAGGATCTGCTTCCACCACCACTTCTCTGGTGGGTACACTGGGACTGGAGGAAACCGGTGGAAGGCAAAAGGGAGAGAGAGAGGGTGGGGGATAGGATAGGATAGGGACTGGGATACAGGGGAAAGGTTGAGGCATGGGAGAGGTATTCAGGGGAGAATGGACCCAACCATTTTTGGGGGTGTTTTTTCTAGTTTGCCTCGTGCACAAATATATCTCTTTGAGTAAACATGTCCACTTTAAGAGGATAATGTGGTAGATAAAGACCTTCGATGTTGAGATTGCATCTGTTCACAGATTAGTGTCAGTAATTCAAAGTGTTTGCAAATGGACTGAATGGTATAACAAGCTTATGGTTGTGTTCTTGTCTCTTTACCAGTTGTGGAGAGGATCGATTCCTGTGCCTCTATGTACAGCAGGTCAGTCCAGGGTCACCACGTGTGTCTGCTCGTCAAAACTGTGAGTAGCTCTACTCCTCAGTCACGTGTCCAGAGATCCACATGTTCAGACAACTCAAATGAGATAGAAGGCTGTGAGTCATCATTGTAACCTTTGCCCTCTGTCTGTCTGTGTCCCTGTCCGTCTCAGGCTGATCAGACCGTGTCCATCGACGCTAAATGTGACGAGCCGGGCCTGCTTGGGAATGTGCTGGATGAGATCAAGCTCACCTTCTCTCAGTGCTGATTGTGTCTGACAGCCACTTGGTGCCCCCCTACCCCCTGTTCAACCCCTCGCTCGCTGAAACACACACTTGTATAATCCCATTACAAACACTGCGGCTGGCACTCCTAGTTTCACCCTATTTATTAATCGTCAGATTCACAACTCTCCTTCTTTCACTTCCCCACTCCCCCATTCACTGATTTTCTCTATGCACACTCCCTCAGTGCACTTATAGTTCCACTTCCTCGTTTCAAATCTCTTTTCCTCTTCCAGCCTCTCCACTGTCAGAATGCTGGTTTCCCCTGCTCCCCCCTCCCTCCCTCTGACTGAACCTGTACCAATTCTCTCTCTCACTCTCACTCACTCATCTGCATTACAGTCTGTGACGGTCATGTAATGTAATCTGACAACTAGACTTTTTTTGTTGTTGGTTGAATTGTGTTTTTACTTTTTCAAGTTGTTTCTTTGTTTGTTGCTGTTTTTGTTGATTTCTGATGTCCGTCTGCCCCCCCCCCCCCCCCCCCGCATTAAACATCAGTGTGTTACTACTACTCTCTATAGTCCTTGTAGAATGCGTGACTCCCTCTGACTGGCCCTAGTTGGAAACATCATGTAAACTCCTCCCTCCATCCTGACCTGACCTCCTGAGACCCACCTCCAACCTCCCCCTGGTGTCCATGCTCCAGCTGTGCTAAGCTTCAGTTTGAACCGTGTCGCTGTAACATATCAATCCCTGTAAGAATTTAAAATGCCTGAGCTGGAAAGTTACACTAAGAGTGAATTGGAATCAGCTCAAAGTGTAGCCATACTGGAAAATAATGTTTCTGCATCTGTCTTGCTCTCAGTCTCCTATTCTAGACATGGGTAGAATGGTATCTTTTTACAATTGTCTGATTTATCGCTTTGCTTATGCTGTAACGGTTGAAGGATATTTTACTGCTCATCTGCTGTGCTGATCTAGACCTCTCTTTCTTGCCTCAGGCATGTCTACCACAGTATATGTAGTGAGTGACCGAATAATATAGAACCTCTCATTGCTCTGCCTCGATTTCTCTTTATTCACTTGTGACCAATTAAGTGAAGGCTAGCTATCACATATTGCAGCTAGAGCCTCTCACGTAGCTTTGCTATAATAGCAGGCTTCGCATATCAATTTGTTGTAGGTCTCCCAGATGTGTTGATATACTTAGTTTGGGATCACCTATGGGAATGGAAGGCTATTGTAGTTGTCATACAGGCACATTTTATTCTAGGTAGATCAATGGTACTTGGTTTCATATTTTATTTTCAATCAGTATTAGTCAAGGTGGCTTCTTGTTTGCTACTCCCTCCTGTCTTGAGAAAGCAAAACATTCAGTCAGTCTTTCAAATCATCCAAACCTCTTGCGCCTCTGCCACTTTTACTCTTACAATACATCATATATGTCACTGATATACAGTCATAAACCGATCTTACTCCAGTGTTATATTCTCTCAGAACTGCCTTGCCACATCCTGTGCATTGACAATATGACGAACATTAATGTTCATCATTTCAAATGGCTTCTTCCTTTCATGACTTGCTCAGAGGTTATAAGTTTGCTGTGTAGTTACTCTCAACATGTCTCACTGCCTGGTCCAGCACGACGTAGTAGCAACTGATCCCATCGTTTTTTGTTTGTATCCCGACTAACCCTCATTCATGTCTTGCAAGCGTAGATGATGTTGGTCTCCTGTTGGACAATGGGTCTCCTGTCCCTTGTTGGTCTCCTGTTGGACAATGGGTCTTCTGTCCCATGTTGGTCTCCTGTTGGACAATGGGTCTTCTGTCCCATGTTGGTATGAGCACAGAGTAAATAACTGTTTTCCAGAATGTTATCCAAAGAAAATATAGTTCCTGAAAAATTATTTGATTTGCATTACAGAATGGAAATGAAACAATTACTTGTAAATCATACATTGTACTAATTATGAACATTTCTGTGCAGAGTATTTCATTAAAATGTGTATCTTGCATGAGTAGGAATGTATACTTTTATTATTTTCCCTATCCAAGGACACACTCGCACACAAACTCCCTTGTCATTCCTTGATTGTCTTTATTTTCTATTATAGTTTTTTTAATGAAGTGAAAGTAAGTTGACTTCATCATTCTACAGTTTGATGGTGTTGTATTTTTAAGTCCATACAATTAAAAAAATGATATCTTTGAATGTTTTAAATTATTTAACATTGGGGAAGGGGGTTCTATTTGGTGTCATGGCGCTGAGAGGAAGAGGCTCCAATCAGTAGAGAGGAAAGGTCTTGTAATGCTATTCAGAGAAGATACCCACTTTGTCTTAATTCTTTCTCTGGTAAATTGTAGTGATTGTCTTGCTGAGTTTGGCTTGTGACATTAAAATATACTCTCATTGCTCTTTGTTTGAAGGGCCTGTCCAACTCCTTCATTCGCAATTCTCTAGCTGTAATATGTTTTAAGAGGGGACTACATGAGCAAGACGATATTAGTCGTCTGGCATATCAACATTCCCTTTAAAGAACGGATAAGTCTACCCAAATTGAAATAAAGGCTGAGCTGCTTTCACATCATTTTTAAAAAAATCTTTCCTTTATTGACTGATTCATTAGAATTCCTGTTTTGTGTAGGTGTATTTGTATATTCAGTGAAACAGCATGTACTTTTCTTTGTGTGCAAGTCCGATTAAATTATGGATGTATACTGAACAAAAATATAAATGCTAAGATTTTACAAGTTACAGTTCATACAAGGAAATCTGTCAATTGAAATAAATTGATTAGGACATAATCTGTGGATTTCACGACTGGGCAAGGGCGCAGCCATGGGTGTGCATAGGCCCACCCTCTAGGAAGCCAGGCCCACCCACTGGGGAGCTAGGCCCAGCCAATCATAATGAGTTTCCCCCACATAAAAGGGCTTTATTACAGACAGAAATACTCCTCAGCACCCCCCTCCCTCTCCTCAGATGATCCCACAGGTGAAGAAGCCGGATGTGGAGGTCCTGGGCTGGCGTGGTTACACGTGGTCTGCGTTTGTGAGGCCGGTTGGACATACTGCCAAATTCTCTAAAATGATGTTGGTAGAGAAATTAACATTCAATTCTCTGGTGGACATTCCTGCAGTCAGCATGCCAATTGCATGCACCCTCAAAACTTGAGACATCTGTGGCATTGTGTTGTGTGACAAAACTGCACATTTTAGAGTGGCCTTTTATTGTCCCCAGCACAAGGTACACCTGTGTAATGATCATGCTGTTTAATCCGTTTTTTGATATGCCACACCTGTCAAGTGTATGGATTATTTTGGCAAAGATGAAATGCTCACTAACATGGATGTAAACAAATTTGTGCACAACATTTTAGAGAAATAAGCTTTTTGTGCGTATGGAACATTTCTGGGATCTTTTAGTTCAGCTCATGAAACATGGGACCAACACTTTACATGTTGCGTTTTTATTTTTCTTCAGTATAATTTGGAGGCTCTGTGTCCTAACTTCAATTCCCAGAAAGCTTTGCTAGCACTGCTCAGGGCTTCAAGCTTTGTGGGACCAGCTTGAGCGACTTTAGTTGCGACACGGTGAAGCAGCTGCTGTAGTGAATTAAGACTGAGGAGGGGAGATCTTTCCCTACTCTGTCGGACAGTCGTTCGTTTGTGATTTCTGGTTTACTTTGACTATTAAAATTTCCGTCGCTCAAATCTGTCTTCGAGTCAATGAGGACACGTCCCGTTGGCCGCCAGGGGTAGATCAACAACAGATTCGCGAGAAGTGCTAGCAAGCTAGGTTTGGGTTGGTTGTAATCGAGAGATTTACGGGTTTGTTCGATCACAGTGGAAGAGAACCGAACGCAAACGTAATAACAGCGGAGAATTGTAGAGTTTTTGTGAGGGGAAACGAGTGAACAATCAAAAGGTTTCTGGGAGGGTGGTTGAAGTAGCTAGCTAGCTAGCTAGCTACCTTTTATCTAAAAAGCTCTAGATAGGTATTTTAAACAGATCGTCGCGGAATATGGCTCAGCATGGACATCATCATGTAGCCAGTTCCCAAAAAGCACTCATGCTAGAAATGAAAAGTCTTCAAGAGGAGCCAGTTGAAGGGTTCAGGATAACTTTAGTGGACGAATCGGACTTGTACAACTGGGAAGTTGCAATATTTGGACCCCCAAATACTCACTACGAGGGAGGTTATTTTAAGGTGAGTATTCTGAATATTTAACAAGATAGCTAGCCAGCCATCAAATCACTCACTGTCGCAGTGTTTTTTTCTCCTCGTAGCACGAATGTGCTTGGGTCTCCAGACTGATTATATATGTGCCTGGTCAGTGTTCACTCTTGTCCAAAACTAGAAATTCATGTCTACAGTATTACTTCTGTAAATGTTATGGCGGTAACAATTGTGCTATATTTTGTCACTATTGTTTGTGACGTACCTAACTATTGAAAACTGTCTGACAACCTCGAACCTGGCCTAGTTTCCTGACTTGAGTTGACCAGTTGAACACAGGTGGCTGGTGGCACCTTAATTGGGGAGGATGGGCTCATAGTAATGGCTGGAATGGAATCAATGGAATGGTATCTAACACATGGATTCCATGTGATTCCATTCACACCATTCCGGACATTTGAGCCGTCCTACCCTCAGCAGCCTCCTGTGCAGCTGAACTACATCTGACAACCATGTTCAGATGTTAACAGATAATTTTTGAGGAAATAAAATTGCCAAATGATCTCACTGTAGCCAGTGAGCCAGTCAGGCAGAATTAACTGCATTGTTCGTTTTGTGTCAAGTCTGAATGTTGCCATTGCTTTTTTGTTCATAGATTGGTCCTGTTTGTCAATGTATGTCCATATTTTAACCCTAAAGACCTCCCAATAACGTGACAAGATTTCTTTCTGATTGGAATTTCGTCAATCATTGCCCAGCACATGTTGTTACAATGTATCGCAATGTATTACATCCAAAGCCACATTGTTACTTTCCATGGTTGTTTGAAATGTATCTCAAATCAAATCAATTTTTATGTCACATGCGCCGAATACAACAGGTGTAGACATTACAGTGAAACGCTTACTTAAAAGCCCATAACCAACGACGCAGTTTAAAGAAAAATAAGTGTTAAGTAAAAAATAGATAATAATTAAAGAGCAGCAGTAAAATAACATTAGTGAGGCTATATACAGGGGGTACCGGTACAGAGTCATTGTGCGGGGGCACAGGTTAGTTGAGATAATTGAGGTAATATTTACATGTAGGTAGAGTTAAAGTGACTTGGTAACACACGTTATTGATATACAGCTGCTGATAATGATAAAGACTAATTAAGCAGACCTCATTTATAATGTATTGTAGGTTCCTATCACAGGAGGTTGGTGGCACCTTAATTGGGCAGGACGGGCTCCTGGTAATGCTGGAGTGGAATGGTATCAAATGCATCAAACACATGGTTTCCAAGTTGGACAATGCTCGCCGCTGCTATCGCTTAGCTATGAAAACAAAAGGAACTGGGTTAAGTTTGATGCATTATACGAACCAGTGGAGGCTGGCTCATAATAATGCCTGGAATAGATAAAGACCAATTAAACAGACCTAATTCATAATATATTGTAGATTCATTGTTATGAGCCGTCCTCCCCTCAGCAGCCTCCACTGGTCCCTATAATGCATCAAACTTAACCCCGTTCCTTTTGTTTTCATAGCTAAGCAATAGCAGCGGAGAGCATTGTCCAACTTGACTCTAAGCACCCAGTATTATAGCCTAGTGTCAGTATCTATCTATATTGTTTGTCATTGATATTTGGGTTGTAAACACTCAATGTTTATCTTTTTTCTTCTGGTTTTGACTAGGTAGTATACAGCTACGACGAGAAGTGACTTTTTTGTAGCAGGTTAGGAGAACTTAGGCAGCAGGCTAGGAGAATTAGGTTAAGGATAACATTTTTACATTTTAGTCATTTAGCAGACGCTCTTATCCAGAGCGACTTAGAGTTAGTGAATACATATTTTTTTATACTGGCCCCCAGTGGGAATCGAACCCACAACCCTGGCGTTGCAAACGCCATGCTCTATCAACTGAGCTACATCCCTGCCGGCCATTCCCTCCCCTACCCTGGACGACGCTGGGCCAATTGTGCGCCGCCCATGAGTCTCCCGGTCGCGGCCGGCTGCGACAGAGCCTGGATTCGAACCAGGATCTCTAGTGGCACAGTTAGCACTGCGATGCAGTGCCTTAGACCACTGCGCCACTCAGGAGTACGGGATAAAATGGTGAGGGTTAGCTAAAATACCAAAAAAATACCAACCACGGTATTTTTTTACCATGTCGTGATATGACTCAGATGAAACATCATAAAGACATTCCTGCTCATGCCATAATTTAACTGAGGATTTTTTCAGACCAGTTGTAAACCAAGGTTTCCAGAATTGAAAGATGTAAGAAAAGTCTGGTAAGCAGACTCCACATCGGCCTGATTATAAACATTTTCCCATGAAATATCATCAATCAACATCTTAACGTGCTCACAATTACTTTTGTTAAATATCCTACCTTTAATGTCACTAATCATTCCCATCTGTTCATTTCCAGCTGCCAAAGAGAAGTGAAAAATATTGGAAAGTGGTCAGAAATGTCAGTAGAAAGTATACCTGTATTAGCCACATTATTCAAAGAATTTGTAAAAATATTATCAATAAGGATGGCAGATGAACTGGTCACTCTTGTGGGCTTATAGATGAGGGGATACAGATAGCTGGAGTATAAAGAATTCAAAAAGGCAGATGTC